TTACGTGGTGGTGGCGAGCGGTGCACAGCACGCTTTGCAGGTGGAGGTGATCGCAAGCGCTTAGGTGACGGTAGGGGAGAGCGCTTCTTGGAGATATGCTGGCGCCCTCGTCCATCAATATTAACGGGGTCCATGCGACCATGGATCATAAGATGGTCAGACTCGGAGACTTTCTCATTCTCAGAAACCTCGTCCTCGTCATCGTCAGGAAGTTCGGGGTCCGACGTTGGGAATGTAGGGTCGATGTCCTGGGGCGTTGGCTTGTGCTTGGCTGCGCGCCGGCGCTCAAGTGTTGACATGTACGCAGCTTCGGCAGGCCTATCCTCGTCAAGAGTACCACAAACAAAGTCGGTACTGTCAGGCAGCTCAGGACTGGGAACACGGATGTTGACCGGCTTTGACTTTCTGCGCTTGGAAGGCTTATCCATGATCTTGAGACCTTCGCGGCTTTCCAAGGATCCAATCGACGATTCTGATACAGTTCGGTGAGTCTTTAGGCGAAGATGTTCCAAGTGCTCCACAGATGTCGCTGCGGTTGATGCTCCGGGTGCCCACCAATCGTAATCAGATCCAGCATCGTCCTCGTCATCTGAGACGGCAAATCCGTTCTCATCATCAGTCTGGAAGCCTTCATCAGTAGCGTCGCTGTAGGCATCGCTACCGTCCGCATCCTCGTCAAGCAGATCATCGTCATCGTCGTCCATTTCAACATTGTCCCCATCCTCGTCCTCATCCTCGTCTTCTTCGTCGATCGCCTCTTCTTCTGCCACCTCCTCGCCTAGCTTACGCAGGTTGTTCTCGATCTTGAGAGTATCCTGGACAGTAAGTCGGCTTCTGTGGCAGGTAACTTCTTGGGTCCATTCTTCAACCTCCTCTTCCGAGCTAGCAAACTCGTGGAAGCGGTATGCTTCGCAGCGAGCGAGGTCGGAGTTGGAACTCAAACGACGAGTTCGGTCAACCGGGCGTACCTTTCGGACGCTGACAGGAGAATTGTTGCGAACCGTAGAGTCCGAGTCCCGATGCACCTTGGTGGCAGGCTTTGGAGACGAAGGAATGCGGCGTGGTGGTGGTGCGGGACTGGCCATGCGCCTGGGCTTGGAGGATGCCTCTGTGGATGGCTTAGATGGACACGCGAACTTGATGGTGCAGACGCGCTTAGGGGGTTCTCCGGTTTGGGTTGCGGGCGCAGGTGCGGGCTTTGCAGGTGCCTCCACTGGCTTCTTATCCTCCTTTGGGCCGCATGCAAACATGATGCACCTCTTTCTTCCCAAAACGGCTTCAATGCTCTGCTCGGTGCTTTGAGGCACCGTCTTCGGTACCGGAGTGACGTTCTCATCATCGTGCGAGACAACAGATACTGGTAGCTCCAACGGTTTCTTGTTGAACGTAGGCAACATGTTGTGGAACGCTCCCGAGGGGGGCGGTGGGCTCGGTGTACAGGGCCGTGTGCCAGGGCTTGTGAAGCCTCCGTCGCTTGTGAGATCAGCTGTACCGCTGTTGTTGCTCCATGTCGAAACGCACGACATGCCGCGGACTGGGCTTGCATCCGAGTGTTCTTCGACAGGCGAGCTCGCGTTCGAGCCCGACTTGAGTGCAGAAGTGAGAAGCGATTCCTTGCGATCGAAGAGAGGTTTCGATTTGGTGAAGGATGTTGTTGAGGAATGACGAAGGGCCAAGGGTGCAGGACGCTGCGCGCGAGGTTCAGGGGGCTCGTCCAGATCGCCCACAATCTCGTCCTCGGCCGTCATAAGCGGTGGTGAGATATTTGACATGTTCTGCGGGGTGTCTGTTCGCAACGCGCCTTGTCTACCAATGTAATCCTGCTCGTTCGCCATGTGTTCTACAGCCGGGTGGGTGTCGATGGTGGAACGTGCGCAGAGTGGGTGCGAAGTAGTAGGAACAGATGCAATTGTTGAATGGGGCAATGATGTTCGAAGAGTGATGCGGTAATAGTGAAGTTGTAGAGGCGTGATGCAAAATATCGTCGTCGTCCAGGCTGTTTCTTTTTGGCGCAACGCACCTGCCGCAGCGTTCCTGGAGCCAAGTTAGACCAGGAGGTGTGTTGTGTCGATCGTTCGAAAGTCTCGGTATTGGAGTCGGTGCTGGCGTATTACTGCTTGGCTGTATCGATAGTTGTGTGCGAGGGTGGGGCCCCAAGGGAGGCGAAGTGTTATAATATCGACAGCAACATGGCGGACAAGTGTGAAATTGAACCGTGAATGGAACTAAAGGCGGGCTTGAGGACGTGTCAGAAGCGACAAGCGTCGGGCAGTGTCGAGTGGGAAGGGGTACCTGGTGAGGGTGAGGGAGAGTTACCCACCGCAACGTGTGGCGACGGGCCGCAGGCTAGGAATGAGCCCGTTGACAAGTGATGGCTAGCGGGTGTGTAGATCAACGACCGAGTCTGCTGTCAGACGACGACGCTGCGCATGAAATGCTGCAATAGTAGTGTGGCGCGGCGGGTGGGACTTGACTTGTAGGAGAGAGGAGAGAGAGGAATTTGATATGCGCTCTGGCGTCTCGGCACGATTTGGTTTGCAGAAGCAGGAAACAGTGGGTAATCGGCATTTTAATTCGTGCCCACGGACACCAGGCACAGCGCAGCCAATACCACGCTTGGCCTTTGTCAATTGCGCAGTGCCTAAGCATGCACCTGCTCCCGTGCTCCTGCTCAATTCACGCTGCCGCACCCGGGCGATGCGAGCTTGGCCGTCAGTATTGGCAATTTCTGCTCTGCCCCGTCGTTACCACTCATCAAACACTTTGTTTGTTGAATCGGCTTCTTTGTCTGTGCTGGTAGCATGTCATAGTCGCCCACGACTAGAATACACCAGAATCCGGTTTCAGTCTCCCAGGGCCCTCCGTGGACAGCTCCAGCACAGCCGATGCAAGACGCAATCGAATTGCGCACATCCTTGATTCCGCATGCTTCGGAACAAGGACCCTGATCAACGCGAAGGAAGCTCTTCAGGGCCACTTCCCCTCGAAGCGCTCTATCCCGCCGACGACGCCACGCTAGCGACGCCTATGCTCATGCCTCACACCTTCTTTCGACCATCCGTCCGACGTCGCATGCATCCTGCTGCAAGCAACACGACCACATGCACGCGCTGTATGCATCTCTGCTCAGCTCGACTCCAACCACGCCAGCTTACCTTTTCTCAAATGCCTCACTTCTCGACACATCTCCAGAGCTCCATCCAGAGCTCCACTTGCTGCTTCATCTCTCTCCATCAACTCTTCACCGCTACTTGACCGCTTCTTGTACTTTGCGCCTCACCTCCTAGTTCTAGCATGGTGGACGCGTCTACACTGTAGTACATCATCTGACTGTCTATGGGGCGACGCCATTCAAGCCTTCAAAACAACGGGATACCGGTTTCAACCACCGTGCCCTGCATCAATCTGCAAGATACTGCTCGTGCGTCGCCGCGCCCTTGTGCGCAGTGCCCAGCAATAGGGTCCATCAAGCCTGGGATTTCGTTCGCTGAAAGCGAATATGCTCGCCTACACCATCTCGCCAGCAAGCGCCTCAGCCGGCTTAGATCAAGCTTGTTCCAGTCGCCGGCGTTGTGCACGCGGGGAATCAGCCGAACGCTAGGATGCTCTCCAGAATCTCTGAGGCTAGTTTCACGCAATATCAAGTACCGACTACCCCCACGCGCGGTTTTCGCGCCAGTGCTGAAGTCCTGTGTCTTCTATACGTGTGTTGCATACTTGTCAAGTACCCCTCCACGTTACGAAGTTTAGGCATTACCCGGCATCCGGCGCGGCTTGCTACTTGCGGTCAGGCCTAACATTGCTGTCTTCTTCTGAGATAATCCTTGTCTTACCGCAATGACGTAGTTCTCGAAGCCGATAGCCGCTTTGCATATGCGCGTGATATTCAGCACTCGATACGCCCCTCATCGGTCTACGGCGTCGTAAACACTTGTCGTTGCTTTCGATCCCCACGTGTCGAAGGTGGACCTTGGGTGCCAACAAGGTTCCCCTCACTTGCTAGTTGACTCGGCAGTGGAGCGGTACTTGCGCCATACTTGCCTGGATGGTTGTCTTCAAACTTGCCAAAACACTAGAGGCCGAGACGTGTCGCGACGCACTTACAAACGTACTCGAGTACACCTTCTGCAAGAGCCGTTTTGACAAGCTAACGTCCGGTTGAGCGCCAATAGATGTTATAGCAACATTAGGTGACGGAATGCTGTGAACAACTCATCTGTACTCGATCTCGATCCTACACCCACACGCAAAAAGCAGTCTTTCACATGTCTACGTTTTTTTCTCTTTCTACTCATCTGACATCACCCGACATCTCCTACCACACCTTCCATACAGCCCTATCCAACACTTCAACCTCTGCACACCACTTCAATCTTACCGTCGCACAACAACGTCCCGTCCATCCAAGCCAAGCGCGCCTAAGCAATACATAACCTTTCCTCGCTTCAGCCAAGTCCTGGGCATGGCTGGTCATCTGCCTGTTTCATAGATGCGGATCATTTGCAAGTAATACCGAAAGCCAAGCCACATACTCGGGAATAGTCTGGGGGACTTGTGTCAGACTATGGGGTTGGGGAAGACGTGGAGTAGGTACTGTAATCTCCGAGAACAGAAATGGAGGTTGTTTCGCATGACTGGCTTCCATGAGTAATCTTCCGGCGCTGCTTCGAACTAGCGCGTTGGTAATGAAGTAGGTGATCTTGGAGCCGCGAGGCTTAAGGAATCTACCACATTGAATACCTCTTTTTTTTTCAGGAAGCCATTTCATGAGTCGCCTGGATGTCTTACACCCTAGATACGATGGTTAGAATTCAAACTCAAACAATCCTCACTGTTGGAAAATACTACATCACTTTTGGCCAACCCATAAGATTTGTTCATATCATGTAGTGTGCGATGGTGATTATCTCGAATGACTATGACTGCCGTTTGATCGCCCGTAAAGCATTCTAATAGGGCCATGTGGTTGTAGCAATTTTACTACACACACTCCATTAACACTACTCGTTCGAACTGGGTATGCTCAACGGCCTCAACTCTTGAATCTGATTCCCTAGTTGTCTCCCCTCCACTCGCAGCTCCTTCTTCCAATTGTCTCTGACAAAGTCCAATGTCCTCGCAAACACCAGTTCTCTCTCGTTGCGCTCATGCTGAGGCACAAACGTATCTGGAAACTGTGTCCAGCCATGTCTGCAACCGGGCGCGTGCCAAACTTCCATGCCTCCGTTCTGCGTGCTAGGCACGTTGGAAGATCCAGCTTGTCCGCCCCGGTGTCCGTCCCAATCGCCCTCTCGTCCGTCGCCAAAGCGCACAGGACCATTCCAATCATTGTTGTTCATCTTGTCTACCCATACATCGCTTTGTACTGCTAAGCTATCCTTTTCAGGCAAGACGAGGAGGATGGCAGCGTTTTTCTGGATGTGTACAGGATCGTTCAAGCCGGGGCTCGCTCGTGGATGTGGTCGCAGCTTGCGCGGGAGATATGTTGGACCCATGATTGAAAACAGTCCTGGTGCTTTCGGCTTCTGCTGATGGTGATCGTCAGGTCTCAGCGCGTTGGGCAGAGGCTTCATGGGACGCTCATGTGGCAGTAGTCGTGCGTCCAGCGAAGGGTAGAACAAGAGAAGTGGCAGCATGCGAGGCTGTGCTTGGGGTGGGGGTAGGAGAGATGGCCACGACTCGAAAGGATCGTCCAGTATTGTGGCTCTGCGGTTTTCGGGCAATCTGGGCGACATGGTGTCCGCAGGGGCCGGACCATTGGTGCGCGAGTGAGGCCCTAGTGTAGTCGACATTCCAAGCTCGGGACACGGAGGTACTGATATAGCCATGTTCAAAGCAATGTTTCCTCCTGCTGAGAAGCCCGAGATTGCAAGACGTGTAGGGTCGAGAGTGATGGTCTCGCAGTGCTCGACGTGTGGAGCAGTAGGTTCCTTCTTGTTTTCCAGCGCATCCGATCGTATTATCGAGTAGTACCGCTGAATTTCCTCCCTAAGGACCTTGCCGGCCTTCGAAACCCCACTTGTATCGAGTATGGCTGATAGAACGTCTTCGGCGTCGTGGATTGCCGCAGGGAATTGATGGAAAGGTCCTATGCGATACGACACGCTGATGACAACGGCCCCGAGCTCGCGAGACATCATTGAAGCGTACGGCGCTTGTTCCAACGGCGATCCCATTATGAAGCCTCCACCTGGTTCCGTTAGCCTCGAGTGTCCCTGACGTTATGCACCTCGTATCCGGGCTTCATACCATGAAAGTCCAGCACCACAGGCACACGCCATTTTCCAGTCTCTTTCCTGTCTTGATCGCCATTGCCCTCAAGATCGACCGGTTTTGGCGGCACAAAGACGTAGATATAGATGAGGTTGCCTCTTCGACTTGGCAGCGCTACGAGAAATGGATGCGGCCCCTTAGGCGACGTGATGTGTAGGATGGAGAGGGGAACAAAACGCGGAATCTGCACGAGTGCAGTGCTGTGATGCAGTCAGTAAACATGTCATAGATAATTCGCAGTATACCATACCGCCATTGGATGCGAAAAGGAAGGCGGAAGAAGTAGGCAATCGAGTGCCAATAGCTGCTCATCATTACTATGACATGGAGGTAGGTAGGGTGGCGACGTTCATGGCGCGAAGGACTCGTCGTATGCGGCTGCGTCACGCATTGAATGCTGAGTGAGCAATGTGTGTGGGCGCGATTGAGGATACTAAGGGGGACGCGGACTGTGTGCCCAGCTGGAAAGCACGGAAGCCATGGAAGCCATGGGCTGGTGTGACGTCAGATGTTGTTCGCGTGTTGCGATGCAGGTGAAATCGTGCCCTGGCCGAGAATTGTTGATTGTGTTTCAGTTTGGTCCGGGCTGGGCCAAAGCTTAAATGAGCGAAGCATCGCATCGATAATGCATCCATACTCAGACAAGTTATAGCAATTGCAGATCACGTTAGCGTCATGCCCGTCATCTGAAGACATCAAAACGTTGTTCGCGTGTTTGCGCGTTTGCGCATCGTTCCAGCACCCAAACGTAAAGGCATGCAAACAATCTGTAGGGTAACAATGGGGTCGCGCGAACACGGAAGACGCACTATGAAGCCAAGGTTGTGTCCAATCGTCCAGAACACATAAAACATATCAGTCTATTGAAAAGCATTTAAGTACCAAACACACTGTGAGATTCGGTTTATCTAGAGCAGCTGACCATGATCACTATGCCATATGTTGGCGTAGGCGGAGAGCGCAAGCCGCCTGAAGCAGGCTAGGTATCACGTACTTTTGAGCGACACAAGACGCAGACATACCAAAGCAGCCTACCAAGCAGCCACCTTGTCGTCGGCATCAACAGAGAAGCCACCACCACCAAAGCCACTATCATTGCCACCGCCGCCAAAGCCGCCACCGAGACCGTCGTCAGACTCGTCATCAGTACCGTCATGCCAATCGATAGTGGTAGGGTCGTCGGGCATGTGCTCCTGAAGAAACTTTGGAATCTCTTGCTTCGACTCGCTGCAGAGGTGAAGATACAAAGTCAGTGTATGTTTCATGCATTTAGATCAGTCATAACTTACCAGAGAATCTTGCACAGATCTGGACCAAGGTCTTCGTTGCGGTCATTGTAGAAAGACGTGGCCTTGCCCTCGTTGCCGATGCGCGCGGTACGGCCGATGCGGTGGATGTACTCGGTGATACCGTCGTGCATGGTAGAGGGAAGGTCGTAGTTGACGACATGCTTGACATTGGCAACATCAAGACCACGAGCAGTGACGCCGGTAGCAACCAGGATAGGGCAGCGGCCGGTACGGAAGGAACGAAGAGCATCCTCGCGCTCGCGCTGAGTACGGTCTCTAATATGAAGTCAGTATATGTCCCACGTTGGGATCGTACAGGATTGTTGCATACGAGTGAATGGAGGTGACAGGCAAGCCCTTGTTGTACAGATAGTCATCCACCATGTCGCACTTGACCTTCGAGTTAGTGAAGACCAGGGTGCGCTGGGGTCCTTCACTGAAGATCAAGTCGAACAGCGCCTGGCTCTTGGCGCTCTCCTCAGTGAAGATGATCTGCTGCTTGATGTTCTGATGGGTGCTGCCAACCCTACCGACCTTGATACGTACACACTCTTCATCCATATACTCTTTCGCCAATCGGCGAGCAGACTTGGGGAAGGTAGCAGAGAACATGAGGTAAGTGTGGTCAGCATCCGAGTTCTGATCTAGAGAGATTGTTAGCAGATGACGGAGAAGATGAGTCTAATAGCAAGCTATAAAGATTAATGTTTGCAAAGGCTAGCATACCCGAACCCTGGAACAGCTTCTCCATGGCCTTCTCCCAGCCAGTCGAGAGCAGCTCATCAGCCTCGTCGATGACCGTGAATCTTTTTATAATGGTCAGTAATGTGATCACGTTGCGAGCTTGCTTGACTTACTTAAGACGGCGGAATGACAGCAGGTTGACATTCTGCATGAAGTCCATGAGACGACCCGGAGTGGCGACGAGGATGTCACAACCCATCTCGAGCTGCTCGCGCTGGTTCTTGGTAGGCGCACCACCATAGACGACGCAAGGACGCAACATAGTGCGGTAACACAGTCGACGCGCCTAAAGTTTGTGTGTATGCAGTCAGTATGTGTCTCATCTGTAAAGTTCACCCTAAAGGTGCACGCTGTGTTTTATGTTGTACTTTGTACATATAAAACACAGCGAATGCCCTCGGGATACTCGGCAGTGCTAGGAAATATCTCTCACCTCATCGAAGATCTGGCAGGCGAGCTCGCGAGTGGGACAAACAATGAGGACGAGCGGCTCAGCGCGGACTTTGTCAGTCAAAGGGTTGCACCGGACTGGGTTTGGACGCGGAGCAGCTAGTTGACGGGCCTTGCCCATGAGCTTTGACAGAATCGGAAGGAGAAAGGCAGCAGTCTTGCCGGAACCTAAGCAGTGTCAGCGAAAAGAGACTGGATTGTGTTCGAGGTGACTTACCTGTCTGAGCAACAGCAACGACATCATGTCCGGACAAGATGGCGGGGATGCAGTAGGCCTGGATCGGAGTTGGAGCCCGGTACTGGCACAACTTGACGTTGTCGAGCATGACAGGGTGAAGACCAGCATCCTCGAACTAGAGAGATTAGCAGAAGCATCTACGAATACACACAAGTCAATGTTTGTGTGACTCACGTTGCGGACAGGGCTGATCTTGGTGGGACCCTCGAGAGTTATATCGAACGAGAGCGCCTTGATGGCACCGCCGGCGCGCTGGAGATACTGGTCGTCGAACAGCATTTTCTCCAACTCTGGGTTGGGCTCGCCCACGTCACCGAATTCATCGTCCCACTGGTAAATGGCGGCATCGGACAGCCAGACGGCAGTGTCGCGGGTCTCGTCCTCAGCGGGAGTGCCACCAACGACGGTCTCGTACTGGAAAGGGACAGGATTATTCCATCCAGCATCTTGAGCACGCGCGAGATCAGCTGCCTGCTGCTCCTTGCGGGCTGCAGCGGGATCGGTCGCAGTTGCCACAGGCGCTCCAGTGTCAGACATGGTATAGATGAGAGGATGTAGTGCGTGCAGCTACTGCTTGAAAGGGGTTATAAATTGCAGCGTGGACGAGCGTTGGGTGGTCAAGGTAGGTGAGTTGGAAGTCACGGTGAGAGTAGCCGTTGTTGTTTATATCGACAGAAGGAGCAGGAGCAGTACGCAGTAGTGTCTCTTAGCGCGCCTTCCTGGGAGATCCTGGTGCCTGACGACGACCACAGCAACAAGCGAGAGGCGAGAAGCTTCTGTGGCTCAGGTGAAGGAGGAAGATGTCATTATGAGTATGTATGGGTAGCCTGTGTGTCAACTGATATGTACGCTGATGCCAAGGTACCACAAGGAGATGCGGTGTGGTTAGAGCAGCTGCAAAGTCTATGGCACAATGTGGGGCAAAGATGTGACTGATCAACACGATATCCATGCTCTTTTGGAAGAACGAGTTTCTTCGTAGCCACGACACAAGGTGATGAGCGGTGAAGCACCACTTGAGGCCAGGGACCCAAGTGAGAGAAGGAGGAGGAGAAGAAGAAGAAGAAGAAGAGAGAGGGCAGAAAGCCTCCGGTAGGTTTGAAGATAATGAGAGAGTTTGTACCACTTACGAAAGATATTGGCAGCTATGCTAACTGACAGACATATGAAGGGTAGGTATAAACGTCCGACATGTTCAACACCATAGAATGAGAACAAAGACTGTATTGATCGATGATGAAAATCACCACAGCATAACGAAGCGAATCTCACTCAGCACTGCTATATTCCTGTGACATGCAAGAAAGCCCGATATTACTCTTTGCCTCTTGCACGAACAGTAGTCTGAGATGATGACTGCCAGCGCTGTCGGATCGTTTTAGTAACCGGTGATCAGATACTACTCTTGCTAGATAGCAGTATGTGGTTTCTGAAACGAACTATTGTGACGACTACGGCGTTTCGTAGAGATGTCCACTGAGACGTGACTGAAGGAGACTGAGAATGGAACGGCGCAACATGAACAATTCATAGATAAACTCACAAATCGGGTCCGTCGCACCATGCTTTATTGATCTTGGAAACTAGAGTCTTCCCCAGAGTGCGTCGTCTACCTGTCCATAATGTAGGGCTGACACGCATTTCTCACTTTTTACAAGATGGTGCGATGTGTAATTAACCTGCTATATGTCTTTTTTGACAACACATAGCGCAGCAGAGCGTCGCCTCTACGGCGAGTTCCAGTCGTATAAGAGGGCGGAGAAGGCATCTGCAGCGATTGTCGTCGACAAGACCGCCATTGTATACTCCATCTAACTGGAAGTTTGTCAGCACTGTTCTTTCATTTAGGCTCAGAAGCATATCGATCCTTTTCACAACAAGAGAGCATTGAGTTGTGTCAACTCGACTAGATTTGACTTACTTGTTTCACTTACTCTCTGCACATCTGACACCTAGGTAGTTTGCTCGTGCGTTCGAAACCCTCCTGCCTTGATGGAACACTCTGTCTTTCGAAAGACGGCCCTCGGAACAACATCAAGGCCCCTAGCTCGTGAGCCTTTGCGATTGATAACTAGTATTACACACTCTGGATGTTAGAGTTGTTCACTGTGTTCACGAATGAGGACAGCGGATTAAGTCTTGCTCGTACAAGGTCCATAGAAACACGTGGCCATCCCGCTGGAACTTGCATGGGGTACATTGTCAACCTCCAAAGCAGTTATCCAGCAAGGATAGAGTCTTATTCCGCTGCTTTCGACCGTTTCCGTCGTAGTAGTACAAACGAACAAGGTAATATGGGCTTTGGCTTGACGGACTGCCCCAAGACAACTTTCGAGACAGCTCTGCTACATCAAAGTAGACCGCTGGATTCTCTGATACCATAGGCCGAATCAAGTCAGTGCTCACTTGTGCTCGTAGATACACTATCCGCCGTGCCATCACTCGAACAAGTGCCGCGATCTGACCATTAGTTCATTGTCGATATCCAGTGCCCTCGAAACTACGCGTACCTGCTTCTGTTGACTATCTGCATGTTCCCCCGCGGTATCTGCAATAGGATTTTGCAAAGACGTGATACGCATATCACACAGATAAGCATCGTCGGAAAAATGAACGTATTGACGATTCAACGTCCAGTTGCGAGGCAACCTCGTGTATAGTCCAGAAGAGCTACTACGAAGCATTTACGTTAGTTAGATGCCATTTGAAAGTCGGGCCGATAGGCTTACCTGCATCACTCAATACGTCTCTTACATTTCTCCATTGACTGTACTAGAGGTAACTCCTTTTTGATGTTGCGGTCAAAGCAACCAGAGATTGGTGGCTTGTTCCAGTTAGCGAGTGGCCCGACCGGGTGTACGTCATCAATTGTTATTTCCTGGCGTTGTCCACGCGACAACCCGCGCATCTCGCGCATCTTGGTTATCTCACATGCACGCCCCTCGTGCACACGCCTGCAGGTCGTCTTCGTGGTTTCATTTCTTCTTGACGCAACATGCACCTAGACTCATTTCTACCAACTCTTCTGTTCAAGACCCCACGGTTTGACTGATCATGAACGATCCCGGCCTTGATGAGCCAGCCACAGAGGCAGCGCAAGATGTAAACAACAGAGTACACGCCGAGGACGATCAAGCTGAGCAGGAAGAGCGAGAATATCTCGATCCAAGTTATGTTCCCCATTACCCCGGCCCCGCTTCGCATACGCTGACGAATTCAGTCAATGGTGGTTTGCGTCCACAGCGAGCCCCCTCATAGCAGGAACATTCGGGCCTATCGCCAACGGATTTTCGATTTGCGCGCTGGTTGAAAAATGGAGAGTGTATATTCCTCCTGGAAGCGATGAGGGACATGGATCGAAGATCACAGATCCGAAATGGCTTATCGCGGTCAACTCAGTCTCTCTTGTCTTCGCTCTGAGCGCGAACATCAGTCTGCTCCTCAACATGTCAAGGAGACTGACTTTCGAAATTGCGCAGCCTATTACCATCATCGGCTTCTATCTAGCTGGCTTCCTTCTGATGGCGCTTGTAGCTGTCGCTTCATCATCCGTGTTTCGGATCCAGCCTATGGAAGAGCATGCCTTGAGCCAAGCATTCTACTACGCTATTATAGCTGCCGGCATCTACTTTATCATCGCCTCTCTTATGGCCTTTACTGCCTTCGGGGCGTACAAAGGGCACTACGCCAGGGAGTTTCGATTGACAGCTAGTCAGAGGACGCTAATGTTGCAGACTATCGCCTTCATAGTGTATCTGCTTGTTGGCGCTCTGATCTTCTCTTACGTAGAAAACTGGATGTTCCTGGACGCCGTGTTCTGGGCCAACTTTACCCTCCTAACGATAGGATTCGGTGGAGAATTTGTGCCTAAAACACACACTGGTCGCTCACTCTTGATTCCGTATGCAATTGGTGGCTTAGTCACAGTTGGTTTGGTTATTGGTTCCATCCGATCCCTCATTCTAGAGCATGGAAAACAAAAGATGGCTGCTCGATTCATGGAAGTTAAGAGACAGAAGGTCCTCGAGTCTATCGATGGTGACACACATACCATACGCATCTCAATCTTTGAAAAGGTCAATTTCTCTTCAAAAGGGTTGACAGAAGCTCAAAGACGAGAGCAAGAGTTTCGTATAATGCGGCGCGTTCAAACGTTGTCCGAGCGGAAGAGAAGATATACTGCATTGGCTCTGTCAACCACTGCCGCACTTCTGTTATGGTTTCTGGGCGCTCTGGTCTTCATGTACTCGGAAAAGCCCCAGGGATTTACCTACTTCGTGGCGCTATACTACGCCTATGTTTCTCTCCTCACAATTGGTTACGGAGACTATGTCGTCCAAAGCAATGCCGGGAAAGCCTTCATGGTGTTTTGGAGTTTGCTCGCAGTCCCAACACTGACGATTCTTATTTCGAACATGGGTGATACAGTTATTAAGGCTTTCAAAGACTTTACTATCTGGCTGGGTTCACTCACGGTCCTACCAGATGAAGAAGGACTGAGCGCCGCACTTAAAGTCGGATGGAGAAGGATCAAATCCGGCAAGATCGGTGAAGAGGAAAGAGTGGGCTATCATGAGGGTCCTACCAGTCCAAATGAACAACGCACTGATGACCGCTTAGCAGCGTACCTTGAAGAGGAGGAGCTTGGAAAAGCACAGGAGGCGGACGAGCATGGAGACTATCTTGAGCGTGATATCCGATTTTATCACTTCGTTCTCGCAAAGGAGGTTCGGAAACTGATGAAGGACGTTGAGAGTTCGTCGTCGAAACAGTACGAGTACCATGAGTGGCAGTACTACTTGCGTTTAATCGGTCAAGACGAAGATGACGCTTCCAAACATCGACAACCCAAAGCCAATACTCGACACGACGACGGTGAGGCCCCTGATATCGGCTCTGCAGATGACGGAAAGAAGCTCGCATGGAGCTGGCTCGGCATTCGCAGTCCGCTCATGGGCAACCAATCCGAGCCTCAGTGGTTGCTGCAAAGATTAGCCATGAAACTGGAGTCGGAGATGCGCAAGATGAGCTCACCTGACGAAGAAGTAAGAAAGACCAAGCCACCGATCTCTATGGCAGAGTTGAGAAAGAGAAAAGGCAGCGGAAAGACGTCGGACGATGCGCATACGTTGCAAGTAGACGTCGAGGCCTCGACAGTCGATCGATGCGCGAAGAAGGAAGATTGAAGGCGTGAAGGGGCGATATCAGTGCATTAGACGTGAAGTGTGCGTTATGGCGTTTGCATGTATTGATTATGGAGGGTTCATATACATTTTCTAATACATCATAATTGCCTACACCGCAGAGAGTTCTATTCTCTTTCTATGACTTTAGAGCACCACCAACAACAACTCAACTCTCACTATGTCGTTGGTAGCCATTTCGCTGCCGACTTTATGGCTTGCACCTCCTCCAGGCTTTGCTGCTTCTTCACATGATCCCAACATTGAACCTGCATTTATCGCTATCAGTGCCATTTTCGCTAGCCTTGTCGTTGTCCTTGTTGCAGTCATACTTAGCAAGAAGAACAGAGGCAGTTTTCTTGATGACACCAGTGAGCACATAGAGCGAATGGACAAGCACCTCAAGATTAGTGGGCCACTGGAAGACGTACTGAGAAGGAACAATGCAACAGACCACCAACCCAGACCAAGGCTATGGTCAGGGTTTTCCAGTTCCAATTCGGATATCGTTCGAAGAGATCATGAAGTCGAAGATAAAGAAGCAGAAGCAGCAGCAGCAAGTAGAGGAGCTTTTGAACTAGCCAGCAAACCAGTTCGTACACCAATCTTCCACATTATCGCACCACATCCCCCAAACGCTGTTGGGCTCGAGGTCCGTCCGCGTTTATTCTTACAAGGCCATGGATTGCCTACTCGAGATGTTTACCTACCGCCACCCCGAATTCCCCAGTCTGGTAACTACAGCGGCAGTAGTAGCAAGAACAATGCGCTTCTGCAGACGCACTCTGCACATACTGCCAGTCGACATCCGCACTCCGAATTCGGCGACGATAGTACGGTCGTGGGCGACAAAGCCGAAGTCGAGACTCTGCGTAGCGATCTGAATTTTCCGGATACAGACTCCGATAATGCATCTTATGACGAGAGGCAATGGAAGCTAATGGACAACAAGGCACTCGGCTTGCTAGGCAGGCACTGGGAGTGATTTGGAAGAGTACGGAAACATCGATTAGAGTTGGAATTAGAGGTATCAGTATTGTATCAAATCGATGTGTCATCCACATTCCTGCCAGCTCAAACTCTCACTTCAGCCGCCCAAAATCAGCCTTGAGCTCGACGTCTCCATCTTCATCCAAAACTTTGCCTCGATCCCACTCCCTCGCCTGGCCCTTGCTTGTCCACACCACATCCTCCTCATTCTGTGTGTCTCCTCTTTCCCACTTCTTCACCTGCGCGTCTGTGAACCCTGCGGCCTTGAGTCGATCAGCGCCTTGTTGCTGCCAGTGGGCACGGTCGCGCAAGGCTTCCAGAGCATCACCCCAGTCGTCTTCCACATCGGAGGTTACGCAAACGTCTGTAGAGGGGTCGTAGGTGGAAGAGAATCGCGATTCGATGCCCATGTTATTTGCTTTGTAAGCACCACGTCCTTTGGAACGTACGGTGGGTTCGCAAGGTGGTGGAATTGGGCCTACGATAGCTTCGAGGGGATCAGAGTCGGATGCTGGGGATGCGGATCGTTTATTGGAACGTCGGTCGTCTTCATGCGAATTGGTGGTAGTGTGCTTCTGCTTTGGACTTCGAGAACGAGTTCGGTCTCGATGCCTACTACGTCTCCTATGTCTTTCGGTATGCCGTGACCGTGATGGCGAAGATGTTCTAGAATGCGACCTGTGCCTTGTATGTTTGCGCTCGGTGTCGTCTCTCCTTCGAGGTCTCCAACGCTCTTGCTCTTCATTGTACTTGTCTTTGCGCGATTTGTCTCGGGGAGACCTCGATCGTATCCGTTTCCGACGGGAACGGTCTTCCTCTTCACTATCATGTTTTCTCTTATGTCGATACTCATCTCTACTTCTGTCTCGATGTCGACGGGATGATACACCCGCCGAAGCATCCCGTTCCCTGTTTCTATGCTCTCTCCTATGCCTGCTCTTATCCTCACTTCGGTCTCGCCGTCTGCGCGGCGTTGCGTCGTGGCCGTTACTGTCGCTTGCTGCTGTGATCAGCCGTCCTTCGGGGCCTCTGCCATTGTCCTCTTCGCGACCGCCCGCCCTTTTCCGGTCGCGGTCCATCTTCCTAAGCCGGGCGCGTGACTCCTCCGCCTCTTTCGCAAGGAGCGCAGTATTGTGGCTATCAGTCTGGCGAATAAGGTGTTGCAAAAAGTTCTTGTTCGGTCTCGGCGCGCGAGAATTCATCCTGTGGACGTGAGCCTGAGAAATCCCGCAAACGAGTGCTTGTGTACTTTCAACGCGTATGCAACGGCATCGCGGGTACGGAAGCTTGTAACGCACCTCCTCGGATTGAAGGCATCGATGCCAACAAGCTCATATGTCTTTGTGGCCTTCTTCGCATCTTGCTTGAGTAGTTCTGCAACGTATGCATCGTCATCTATGTCGCGCGCCATGACCGGCGGCTGTTGTGTGGGTGGATGGAAGAGTCGCTGAAGTCTGGGCTCCCGAGAACCCTGGACGGCCATGTGAAATCATTCCGGGCCATGCGACGGGCCGGGCTAGCTGCATGCGGTAGTCGCCGCGGGGAACTCAGCCCTACGCGGGCAGTCGCGATTGCCCAAACAAACATTCAATCCCTCTGCAAATCAACATACATACGACGAGCAACATGGGACCCAAACGAAAATCGGCTCCGCCAACACCGGAATCAGTACTGGAACAGTTACAGCAATCCAAGTCGCTGAAGCTTCTGGCCATTGCCGAAACATTATCGCCAAAGGATCTCCCACAGGCTGAGAAGAAGCGCAATTCTGCAGCATCAGAGGACAGCGAACAGAACGGCGACACCCACCCGGCAGCCCTTGAAGCTGATCTGCTCCACTACAAAGTTTGTGTTTTCGCGACCCTACCAAGAATTCACGTCTGACCAAGGATGCAGGAACTCTTCAGCAAACTACGCTTCAGCTATGTCGAACAGGTCACCAAAGAGAAGTTCCTGCGCAGCATAACGGAAAACCCACCCCGCTTAGTCGAGGCTCCTGAGAATGATGAGAAGGAGAGAGAGATACTGGCTCTGAAAGCAGAGCTCAAGGAGCGCAAGTTGGAAGTAGCTGAGATCTTGAAGCAGCTGGAGGACAAGGGAAAAGAGCTTGCGTTGCGCTACGAGGGGCTGCAACTACGCACACAACAGCTTGAGTCACTTCCAGCCGAGATTGCAGGCCTCGAGGCGAGACTTGAGCAGTTGAAGAACGACCAAACACCAGTATCAAAGAACCCTGAGTTGTCTCTGCCACTTCCTGAAACTCAGCGAGTACTCAGCGAACGAGAAGCGGAACTCGCAGCCCTGAATGCGCAAATAGCAAGTCTCCAAGCTACCATCCCGAACCGGACCAGAGACCTGGAGAAGCTCGAGCGTGAGCTGAGACCACTAGAGACACAGAAACAGGGAACCGTAGCGGCAGCCAAAGAGGCCCGGAGACGGAAGGAAGAAGGCGGTGGGATCGGAGATGAGCTAGAGGAGAGAGGCAGATGGCTCCGAGCGTCTGAAAAGGCGCTAAGGGAAATGCTGGAGGTTGAAGGATGACGTCTTTTGTGATGAGCGTGTATGTGATGTGTTTCTGTCGGCGTTACGGACTCGAGATACCACTTGGAACAAATTTTTCTCTTTGCACAGTCTCCTTCCTAATGCACCTGCGAACACGGGGTTGAACATGCCGACAAGCCTAAAAGTCCTAGTGACCGTTCGCCTCATTGCCAACGCATCGCAGTTCAAGGGACGCGCGAGCTAATCGGCCTCGGAAACCAGAAATTCGCGTTGAAACATAATCTGGGCGGCTGGGTGCAGGGGTTTGGGGCGTTGTGGTTGGCCAGCCCCAGCCACTCACCGCCAGAGACCTATCGATTACGTTGCCAGGCCATTCGACCCATAAACATAGGCGCAGGTGGATCCCTCGACGAGCTAGTTGAGCTGGCTACCGATTCCATCCTTTCGTGACATCTGCAGCTGCATTGCTTTGGACAAGATTTCGCAACCTGCATTCCTCGGAAACCTCTTCGCCCAGACGACGTCGAACCGTACGGCGGCGACAGGAGCTGACGTTCCCCCACCACCGTGAGCTGTCCACACGGACACGCTCTACACTACCACACCACCGCCTGGTCTCAGCCTGCGTGTAATTGCTCCACGGCGCAAGGCTCACATTCGCTATTCTTACGCCTGTCACGACGTTACGACTCTCTGTTTCCAGTTCATCGTTGCTTGCCTGCGTTGTTAGCGAGATTCCGGTTTTCTGTCGTTACCTCGTCCGTCAGCCTGGTGTGTTTAACGACTTACGCATCTATCTCACGACTGTTTCTGAACGAATTCGCCTTTGATCTGGAAACGAGTCTTCGCCGCAACAATGTCTGGACTTTCGGATCCGGGGTCGAGTGTCTACGACTCGGCCACGATGCACGTGGGAGACGGAACATGGGATTCGCAGCGCAACACTTTTCTGCTGCCCAACTTGCAAGGCCCAAACTTTGAGACGATGCGATTGAATGGTGAGAAGGCACGCCCTTAGAAGAAGAATGTACCCGCTGACCTTTTAGGCATGGGCAATCGTTTTCGTAGCATGGCCGGCTACAAGGCTCTCATCACAGCGCACGGCGTTTTAGCTGCCATTGCTTTCCTGTTCGTGATACCGGCAGCTATCTTTATGGCTAGCTTCTACCATCGGAACCCGCGAACCGCATTGCGAGTCCACATCTGGTTGCAAGTGCTGGCAGTTCTTCTCTCGACTGCTGCCATCATCTGCAGCTTCCAGGCTGTCGGCCTCGAAAGATCCCTGACCAACCCGCACCACGGTATTGGCGTTGCGCTATATACTCTTGTCATGGTGCAAGCTCTAGGTGGCTCTGTCATACACAGACTAGAGAAGGGCAAGGAACGGTTCAAGATTCCTCTCAAACTTATGGTATGTACAAGACACGAGTCATCTCAACAATTACTGACATGTTCAGATCCACCAATGGCTAGGCCGTACTATCGCACTCCTTGGAATTGCCCAGGTTCCCCTGGGGTTGACTCTCTACGGATCACCGCTAGCTTTGTTCATCCTTTTTGCCATATGGACGTTCATCCTAGTGGTCCTCTACTTCGTCCTTTCGTACAGGACCCAACCAGAGATGGACTTTGACGATCGTAGCACCTACGTAACCGACATGACCTACAGTACCAGGAGAAGCCGGCGGACGAGTAGAGGGCCTGGCGTTGGAAAGCTTGCAGCAGCCGGTGCAGCCGGTGCAGGATTAGCCGCGCTGGGGTCAAGAAGATCTCGAAGCCGTACTCGCAGCCGACGTGGCGGTACAGTGATCAGTTCACGACCTGGCTCTCGTTCTCGGCGTGATTCACGTTCTCGTGTCGCCGACTCTGAGTTCACGGAATCCTACTTGAGCGACGAAAAATACGGTGGTGATCGCAACAAGGGTTCCACATGGAAAGATCGTCTTTTAGGAGCCGGTGCCGCGGCTGGAGGCATCTTCGCCGTGAAGAAGCTGTTCACTCGCAAGCCGAAGCATCCTCCAACAGAGACAGGAAGCGATTTCAGTTACAGCCGCCCAGTTGAACCCTCCGAAGTCACCCAGACCGACCTTTCTAGACTTGAAGAAGGAAGAGCGCCTGAGTCTCCAGCAAACCGTCGTGACAACTGGCGTCGTGACAATCCGCAAGCATCGGCAATGTCTGGAAGTAATCTACGGAGTGGTCATCGTCCAGCTGGAAGTGTAACATCGATCGACTCTTTCGATAGTCGGACCAGTCTTAGCGAAGAGACCGAGATGAGACCTAGGGATCGATCATATGGACTTAAGGAAGGAGTCGCTTCGCTTGGTGTGGTTGGTTTCCTGAAGCATTCTCTGAGCCGACGCAGTAAGAAGAAGGAAGACGAGCGTGTGGAAGAGATGAGGCAACAGGATGAAGAAGAAGAACGCATCGCTCGCATGAACAGCCAACGTCGTAAGAAATACACGGGCGACGGAACGCCGAGAGGCAACAGACCGCCATCTACTATTCTGTCTGACAGCGACATGACCGGTATTACACCTTCAGTGGCACCACGTCCACCCAGACCTATGGACTCTACCGTCACGCCCAACCCTAGTCGCCCTCCTCGCGCTGGTGTATATAGTGTCCTGTCCGACTCTGGATCCGAAGCCTATGACTCTCCTGGAGGCCGTCACCATAGCCGACGTCGCACCGGAGACAATCCTGTGCTGCCCGCTGGTGCGGCTGCAGCAGGCACGGTGACTTCTGCTGGATCTCCTTCTAAGAAAGAGCGCCGCGGTAGTAGAGACGACGTGGCATCTCCTCCTGTATCAGTGAAAGTCAAGATGCACAATGACGGTCGGCATGTCACCCTACGACGACTAAACGAAGAAGAAGCAGCAGCAGAACGTGAGGCAAGGAGGAAGGACCGTCGAAAGAACCGCGCTGGTAGTGTCAGTTCACTGAGTGGCGTTGGAGGAGACCACTGGCGCAGGACGGAAGCCATGGAGGCAGCACAGGCACAAGAGATGGCACAGCAATCTGGAGTGCCTCCGCCAATGCCCATGCCTAGTTCGAGCACCTTACGCATGCCCGAGGCCAACATTCCTCCTCCTCCACCAGGTCCACCACCGATGTTCGGTAACAACCAAAACCTATCTCCGGACTACGGCAACATCCCACCTCCTCCGCCGATCCCAGCGGCGGACACTGTTTTGAGCGGTAGTCCTATCTACGGCAATGGCACGGAAACGGACCTTAGTAATTACGATTCCAACAGGCGTAGGCGGAGAGCAGAGCGCGCACAGGCTAAGCAAGCTAGGTTAGGAGGAAGTCGCGTTGAGTTTTCATAACGACTGTCTGATGGTGATGAGGAACAAAGGTATGAAAGGATGATTTCGCGAGTTGCATTTTCTCTGGCGTTCTGGGTATCGAGTTTTGGCCGTTTGGCCTTGCCGCAGATTCAGCGTCATGAGCATCACATGCTGCTGGTGATGATGAGTAAATAGATTGAGCATAGCTTTTATATACATGTATCCATCTACGCTTCGGCGTAGTATAAGTACTCGTCTTTGCTAATTTTATGCTACAACTTGATAGATGCATCTTGACACACATCGTACTACAACGCGCCACTGGCAACTAAGGCCATGCTCAACAAATTATACCACAAAACTTAACTAGCCGTATAGTAGCTTATCGTAGGTGGATAGTCACCCGTCGGCAGACCATGTGCTCTGTTCTCGTAGGGCCTGATCTTGCTCGTGTCGACGAAAGATTGCATAATGGTAGGGTGTTATAGAAGCTGTGGTGACATGAGCAGGTACTAATCAAGTTGACGGCACTAAGATCGATGACGGCCAAGGTATTGTACAGAAGATCGAGCACTGGTAGGCCTTATCGTTGGGAATTAGCATGTATACTCTAGGCTGGAGGCTATGATGAAAGTATTTGGTGTTCTACCTTACTTCCATGCCTCGTCATCTGCTTTTTTTTTTTGCTGTCATGAGAAACATCCCGTTTTTTGTTTGAGCCTAGCATTGGCGGAATGATGCCCGAATCGGTGCTTTGGGTTCGAGTAAGAGTGCTTCCTGAATGGGAAATCTGTGAGGATTGGGGTACGCCTAAGTTTTCATCCAAAAAAATAATAAGCTGGACCCCAGAATAACGTGTAGGGCGTCCTCTCGTGAACATAGTGGTGTCTTGATACATACATCATGATACTGATAGTTCAATACTGTATGGGTTATTCAAACAAGTCATCGCACAGCCATTGCAGAGTCTGTTGTTACCATAACACCTAGGTACCTTGGTTGGATATTATCATGACTACCTAGGTACCATGGTTGAGCATGGAGATGGCTACTTCAGGCGCAGCATGGTAAGCTGTCCTCATCTCTCGCTACAATATCAACCAAGACACACGTACGCACTCAATCGCTCTATGCAAGAAACCTCACGCAGGTACTTGGTAAATATCGAAACTGTCCAAGGTCCCCAATCAAGTTTCTGGAATAAAACCAACCAAGCTCGAGCACGCAGACTAGAGTAAGTCAATGTCGAGTAAGGTATTCAGGATGCAAGATGTAGCTCGACCATTTTTCTCGGTTCGGCCGAGCAAAGTACCCAGGTAAGTACATGATCATCTATTGGCGTACCAAGACTGATTTCGTGCGGTGACAGACAAACATCCGGTGATACAACTATGAGCTGCTACTACTATGACGCTTGTAAAGTACCGATTTGATGCTACAATTAAGAGACCACTTCGAGAGACGGCAGTCTGAGCTCAAGGCACTGACTCCCGAGGATTCCCAACGTTCTTCGTCAAACGCATGCGACAACAACACAACGGACATATTGCCGTATGCAGTTCTTGATCTGCCGCCTCAAGATACATGAGTCAGCCAGCATGGGTGGACGGACGGCCTGAAGATATCTCTCCAAGTCCTACTAATGATGACTTCTTCATTAGGAGACGCTGTCCGGTTAACGGTGCTGCACACCACGATGTTGCTATCGAAGCTGCTTCATCGTGAAACGCATATCTATACTTGAGGAAGCTGCAATGCACGCTGCACGCTCTAGAACGCCACGTTCATGCTAACGGGTGACGTTGCCTTGTGTCCTCCGCGGAGCCTATGCCAAGCATCACGAATCTTACCAATGGCGCTGCCGCTAGCGGAGCATAGACGAGGGAGATACATAATTCCAGCTCCCCGGATCTACGACAAGCCTCAACACCATCGCTTATTCACACGTTACCAAGACTTCTCTCGCGAACTCCTAAGTTTCTTCCAGTTGGTTGTATTACTATCCTATGAGCAGTGACGTGTGGCGTACGCATGATACCGCTGGTGGCAAACCTACTTTTGGAGGCGGGTCCAGCCTCTCCCATTCGCGGTCTCGACGCCGTTGAACCAATTTTGATCGCTGCCGGCAGCATCTCGGAACCTTGACTGTCTCGATCCGACGGTGGAGACCGCAAAAGGCCCTTTAGGACAGAGGATATAAGCCATGAGGGAGTCGCTACTGTCCCAGTACAAAGAACTCTGTGTTTGCTGTCCTGTACGGAGAAGCACAGTTGTCGACAACGCCTCGTGGCGAATTCGGCATCCCGATGCAACCCTCACTCGCTACGCTTACCAGGGGTTTTTCCCGCGAACCTTACCAACGCATCACCAGCTGCGCCTCGCTGAAACTACCCATCGAATACGAAATCGGATCATGGCTACAGTCTATCTTCCTCCAAACCAGATGCATGAGCTCTGTCCTGCTTGTTGGGTGGCATGACGACGATTGCGGCAAGCACCGGTCCATACCGCCAATGAAGCGCACATGAAGACTCTGAGTATGGAGCAATTGTCGGCGCCATCGCCCCGTTTCTCTACCATCCGTGGGACATGCCCAGTCAGTACCGAAATTCATGTTCGGGAAGCGGTCAGTCCGGAGTTTAGGCCATGAGTCCTGTCAGGTACAATGTTCAGAGCCCAAGATTCCGCCATGGAAACCGCGTAGCGTCATGGACGGAGCCCTTTCAACCTTGCCATGTCAAAATTGCCACAATTTGAGTGCACAGTACCCTTTACATATTCGCGCGCGCATCAGCACTTGGAAAAAATGATCACAAAAACCCTAGGACATCCATTACGGAATACCTGCCCATAACAGCCCAACGGGGGAATCTCGGCTAGTTACAGGTCACCCTAGTATGGCACTAACGAAGCTCCCGTCGCTCTGCAAGAACCGCCCGTGCCATCGCTGCAGCATGCCCAGCGGTCAGCCTAGGATGTTTCTCCAAGCAAGGTCCAGCCCACCAGACCGCCTAAGCCCCATGGCTTGCGACCGTGTGGTAGGCGTTTGACCGGCGTCCGACGCGCTGCCCTGCAGACTCTTTCCCCAGCCGTGGAACCAGGGACGCAGGCCGCTTCTCCATGTTGCATCATTGGACTCGCGAGCTATCAGCCCCATGTCGACTGGCGCAGTGATGCTAACTAGTTGAGTCTAATATGCACTTTGGACGCTTGGGCTTCTCAATCGTCCAGGTTAACCAGGTGCGAATGAGCATTCATTCAAGCACAATGACACAAGGAACCTTCGATGATATCTCCCCGAGTGTAGGCGCAACATGTCTGTTGTACTAATAGGAACCAGCGGATCCGCTCGGCGACTGCATTCCTCATCAAGTAGATGACGAGACGTTCCCACACTAGCTTGCACTCCATCATGGCTTCCACTCCTACCACAACTGCTCCGGTCAAGCGAGCCTGCGATAGGTACGTATCGTCGGTACACATTCACATGCCACACCACTCATTCTTTCTCGTAGCTGTCACCGAAGAAAGGTCAAGTGCATTGGTGAAGGCACGGCCCCTTGCAAGAACTGCGTCTCTGCTGGCCTTGCATGCACATACAATGCCATCCCACAGAAGAAAGGCCCTAAAGGCAGCCGCGCCAAAGTCCTATCTGAACTTCGCGAAACTCAACGCAATGCTCAACTTGCTGCCGGATTCCCAACCGATCTTGGATTCGATGGCCGGACACTATCCTCGACATTTGCTCGCACACCTGGCCTTATGCCCCCCGCTCTCGTTGAGAGCTGCATAGAATACTTCTTCGCCCATGTCTACCCCTCAGAGCCTGTCTTGCATCGCCAAAGAGCGCAAGAAGCCGCAGTCGGTATGGACCGCTCGACAGAGGCATACTGTATGGTGGTTGCACTATGCGCCTACGTCATGATTCAGGCCAACCACAAGCCACCCGTCAGCGTACTACCACGACCAGAAATGGCCCACATGTCAAATGTCGGCATCGGCCATGTCCTGCTGGAAGAGTCGGTTCGTGTACGACAAGGCTACGATCACCGCGAGAATCCCACCCACTACAGCGTGCTCACATCATGGTTCTACAGTGGCTGCTACTTTGGACTGGCGCGCGAGAACACAGCATGGACATACCTCCGGGATGCTACTACACAAGCGCAGCTACTTGGTATGCATGACGAGGAGACCTACAAACACGACCCTCTCGATATATCACGCAAACGAGTTCTGTACTGGCTGCTCTTCATAGCTGAAAGGTATAACTACAAGTCAAGATGTCTTCTCAGTGCGCGCAACTAACTGCTTGTAGGACATATGCGTTACACAAACATCGCCCAATTACCTTACATCCAACCATCCACCCGCCTTCGCTAGACGAGGTTCCTTCCGATCGACCCATTGCCGTTGGACTGGAACTTATGATCAACATGTTCAAGATCATAGACGATACATTCATCAACCTCTGGAATCGAGTGCACAACACACATGCAAGCGCGGCATGGATTACGCAAGTCCAAACCCAACTTTCAGAGGCCGTTCCCGCATATTTTGAGTGCACAGAAGTCCAAGAAGTTCAAATCCGCATCACACAACAATGGCTGCGATCACAGGCATGGCAACTAAGTGTTTGCCAGGGCCTTGTGAGCAGCGTGTCAAATGACATCCCCCTCACATTCAAATACCCCATCGAAATCGCCAGGGACCTTCTCACTATTTCGCACCAATTTTCCCAACAAGCCATGGAAATGCACGGCGTAGGACTGGTAAGCAGTTTCTCATTTTTTTGCTCGTCAGCCCCAAAGCTGGAGATTGTCTCCGTTCGAGCCCCTCCATCTCTCGCTGGAACCATCCCTGTTGTATTTCGATCGCACTAGCGCCGCACTAGGCAACGTCTATCTCTGACGTCCATGCCCTGACTAGCCAAACTGGCTGGTCCGTCCCTCCACCTACACCCCTGCCACGTTTTGCCCTATCTGTCATGCCAAACGTTAGCTAACAGCGCTGCAGATCGAGAAGCTATTCGACATTGCTTGCTGTCTGACTGATGTCGTTGCATGCACATCCTTTTCGCCTGATGCATTTGCTTTGGGCCCTCGCGACTATGTGTCGCGTTTCCTCACTCTCATATCGACCCTTCGTGGTGGACAGACTCGATACCTTCCTCTTCTCCTCGCAAAGCTCTCCGAAGTCCTACCCAACCTTCCGCTTCCCCGGTCACTGAACCTCCCCCAGACGGTTCCCGCAGGCACGCTCGGCCTTAATGCTACTGGCTCGGGGACACTTCCCTCCAATGTCGCCGATGACTATTCGGCGAATCCCAACGCAACGTCGCCCTCGTATCCTTCAAATGATCTGATTCGTCGACTCGCCGCCCAGACCGGAGCCCAACTTCCCTTCAATACATCCCAGCATTCCATGGTCAATGTACCTACTACGCATGTGGGCGACATGTCCCTGTACGACTCCTCACACAGTACAGCACATTCGCACTCATCTAGCTCAGCTCCCAGGAGCACTTCTACGACACCTGGCCCCTACGAGACTCCTATGTCACAACGGGGGTCGCAAATCGTAGGTCACCCGACCATGCAACTCCCCACCTCGCACGGGCACATGCAGAGCCACCACATGGGCGTTAATGCTACAGCATACGACCCACGTTTTTCTATTCAAAGTTACCCCGTCGACCCCATGATGTACAAGCAATAGAATCTGGGTGTGAAGAGCAGGGATATCAACAACGGCGCAGAGGAATTCCTGGTCCTGACAGCGGACCGATTTAGATTTGGTAGTATGGTATAGCTTTTGACCATTCAAGTACATGTTCAGCCTTCGTATCGGCACAGCCTTACAATCATCGAGTGACCAAAGCTTCAAAAAAGGAGCACGTGGAACACGGACGACGTTGAACCGCCTCGTCACGAACCCGGAAGCGTCACCTGCCAGGGCTTAGGACATGAATTCCGCGATTCCCGGTTGTCAGCGATCTCAAGGCTACGAACGTCAATCCTCCGGTAGTTCTTCCGACGGGAAGGAACACTGTCAGCACACGTGCGGGAGGAGGTGCTTGCATGCAGCACCAAGCCCACCGTGGATATTTTAAGCGATTGACATGTGTCCCATGGGTTAATCGATGCACCGGCTTGCCTCTTCAAGATGATGAATCAAGGGCAACCCATGCGCTTGATTACCACAGCCATGGCCCGGACCCCCTTCTCGATCTCAAAGATTACGAAAACATGGCCAAGAGACAAGCACTGTCACTCGTGGTTCTTGGAGTGGGCATGATTGACGGTCGGAACGAGGCGGTTAGGTCTGGGAAAGCCGGTTTTGACATGACATGGTCGTACACCAGTGCGGCTGTGTAGCTTCCACGGGACCCGCAGCCAGGGAAGGGAGGGTATGGCAATCCCGGCCTGTCGTTATTACAACACGAGCTCGGAATCTACCGACACGCAGATGAAGATCATGAAGCAAGGAATGCGAATCCGGATAATTGGTTCGCAAAGGAGAAGTGAGACCTAGTACGCCTAGCATTGTACACGCGTTCAAGTTACTTGCAGTAAAGTTCACGACATGGATGCATTAAAATCCAAATAGCGAAACATGATAGGTGTCCATGTAACTACACCAGTGTTAGTTACATAGACAGGTCGAAAACGTTCAAGTCGCGAAACACACGTCATGCCACATCCCACGCGACTTTCCCATATGCAACATGGTACCGACTCATGTCCATTGGGCTGCAACAGGGCTTTCATTACCACCTGGGCACCAATCACACGATTCGCGTTCAGAGTGTCTCAAGCTTTATCTCTGGGGTCGGCCCGTCTAACGTCGGAGCGTTTTGTTAGCTGCTCTTCGCAAAAGTTTCCTCCGAGTGATCACTGACAGCCGGCGGGGACGGGGGTGGACCATGTCGCGGTTCTGGCGCTGGAGGCGTGATGGGACCCTGGGGATCAGGGACGGGTCAGCCTCGTGGAAGAGGCTTGGTCTTCGAGAAGATGTCGATTGCGCGTTCCTGTCTTGGAGAGACTGTCCAACGGCGACGGAAGGCTTGGCACAACGTGATTGATGGACCGTGACCCAAGGGAAGGGTAAGCGTGGACTCGTGATTTTACTGTCATAGTGTTCGCTATCATCCGGTGGCCTTTGCATCATCCCTGGTGGAAGAGACATTGCGCGATTAGTCGTACGTTGCAGTCGCGTACAACGTTAGTATTGCGAGGTCTGGGGCATAGTTTGGTACAGCGCACGCACTGAGTCTGAGACTGGGTGTTTGAGCATTAGCATTGTTGAGATTTGCTGCAATTACACCTGGCCCAGCTGCCCAACGCGGTCTGCGACGTCCTGACGCTCGACCATATGGTCCATGGTCTTCAAAAACTTTATTCCTCTACTCCTCTTGTAGCAAGTGGCGAATATACCAACTCACTCATGCCCTCCCATGTAACGGTATATTCCACTTCTCAATTTCTGTCCATGCTTCCTCTTGTCGGCCCGATTTTCGCCGCGCTAGGTTTCGCACTCCGCTGACAACCCAGACGGAGACACCGAGTGATCAGGAACCGATCGCCAGGCTCCTCGAAATGGGGCTTCTTTCCCCTCCCTGGGTGCTTGGAGGAAGAAAGGGTCTCGGCTTACGGGTTAGTCATGGAAGATGGCGGCAATCGTTCACGTAAGTTGCAGGTGGTCACATCAGGTCTTTGCACTAGTCTGATGTGGTTATTACTGATGACTAAGATTGGGTCAAAATTTCATTGGCGGGTAACATCGCCGCCTGACTCGTATTCGCTTGTACATGCGGCATATGTTTCCCAAGCGGTGGTAGTTCTACATCCCCGGATGCTCCCATTCGCTAGTAGTTAGCTGCACAAATTATTATTGTTTAATCATATGGGAACAGGAAGGAACGAACGGCATGCAGATGTAAGATGCAATGCGACATGCACTGTCTATTCCGCTGATACACGCAACACTGGAACGCGTGCTCATTTCGCATTCCATTCTTCGCAGAATCCACAGCGACATCGGAACAGATCCCTATTTCGCAGCTTGTTCCCATTGGTGCGGAGTGTAGCTTGACTCGCTGGCTCAACTCCCTGGGCAGAAAAAACCTAAGCTGAAAAGACCTTACTACGTACGTAGTCCTTGCACCACACTACCAGTTGCTTTTGGTGGCACCGCTGCACGCCATTGCGTCTTGCAGCTCACAGCGCACCGGCTTGAATTTCGGGACGTCGTGGCTGGCATGCACATGCGCACCGTTGCACCAGACTTGCGCGCCGTCGCTGCGCAAGGCTGCAAACGTCCAGCGTTGCACTTCAAAGGTCTTGTGATCCCAGCCTCGACGCCTTGACGGGTTGCGGTATCGATCGTGACGACGCTTTTGCTTTTCAGCTTTGCATCGTCAAGAACGCTTGGCCCAATCACAACAAGGATGGCAGAATCGATCCTCGCTTGTCCAGAGCGCGTGCGTGCGACCGCGCATTGCGATCGCAGCAATCGCAGTTGGAAGAGCGATCGAAATTCGAAAGACCTCGGGATCTTCGTATATCGCAGCCAATGACACTGGCTACGAACGACTCCTCCCGTGCAATCGCCACTCCTGTGTCCAGAATATCAAACATGTGAAGTGATCGCGGTTCCGCTCCAATGCGATGAATCTGCTGCAATCGGTGTGCCACAAGCGCATGTCTGTTCCGAGCATCCGGAAGCGCGGATCGCCTTCTCCCGTTCAGGGTCTTGTCGATTTTCGCAAGCAAAGTCTCTAAATCCTGCACTTTCCTAGACGCATGCGCTGAGCCGAATCTTGTCCAAGCGATGGAGGTGCGGAAACGTTGATTTTTGGCTGATCGGTGTGTGGTTGCATGGCATGCTTAAGACAGCAATTCTCCAACTGGCTCCTGTAAGGTAAGAGCAGGATGTGGCTTGACGCGGCCTCGTATGTTCTGAATGCTCGTATGCCCGAAGTACAAAGCGACCTCACTTGAAGAGTACTTCCATATTGCTCGGAATAGGAGTATTGCTGCACGGAGATCATACCTGAAAGACACTAGACAATCTTGCTCTATCTTGAGTAAAATGCGCCTCTCAAAATTCTTGCGCTCTACCTACGTATTCAAGATAAAAAATCAGCCAGGCCACCAGCAAATCGATTCCGAATATCTCGTATGCATAGTAGTTTTCACTTGCCGTCAAGGACTAACACGAAGTAGAGCACCGGTTCCTCGATTCCTGATGTTGTCGAGTACATATCCATCCACAGATAAGAGCATGAGTCCATACTCGTTCCCGTTTTTCTGCACCAGCCTCCAATTCCTATTGTACGACTCAGTCAATCCTGGATACCACGCAGGGCCTTGCATATATCGTGATAAGACTGATATCACTGCTTATCGTGCCAATATTTCCTTTTCCCCGAAGCATGTTGTCATCGTGTTCTCGTACATTCCACCAACATCGTTGCCCTCCAAAACACACATTCCATGGCAAGACCAGACAGCGGTCATTCAAGCATTTACCCGTCCTTATTCCCGCTGCTGTTCTATCTATTACTCTGGATTCCGATTCCCCGACTGATACGCGTCCGCGGATATAAGAACAGTACCCCGCCAAGACTCATCACACAGACGTGATATCGACGTAGCACAACTTGGCGCACATGTGAAAATGGTTGATTGAGCCGCAAAATCCAGGAAACACACGCGCGATACACGGATCGACTCAGTAAAACCCAGTACCTTGTTGCCTATTGTCACTTCGCCGAGCCGCATTCAATTCGGCGACCACATTCACTCGCAATATGGAAACAACTTGCCACGTATCTCCTCCACAGCGGCCATGAGAAGACCACTCAAGGAACCTGGTCTGCCGCCCACCTCCACTTATCATGGAACGTCTTTTTTCGTTATATCCGGAATTACAATCACGATGTTGCTTTTTTCGTTTCCTTTGGGCGAATTCCCGATCCTCTTTACTCTAAGATGGAGGCAGAAAATGCTTCCAACCGAGCTGCGGAGACATCATTCACACATGTGCAGATGCTAGTTCCGTTGTATGCCGATGTTGCCGCGCCGTCGGCATGGCCAAGCGTTTGTGGGCCGTTGTTTCTGTATCTGCATGTCTCCAATGCCGCTTGACAAACGAGCATAATCCAGGCGTCGCCGAGAATTTCCAATGCATGACTTGTATACACGTCCGGCTTTGATCCGGAAAGGTTAAGACTTGCTCCGGCCTGGAGTCTAAGCGTAAAACCATTGTCTAGTCATGGGTAAGCACCATGTGAAAAACCTGAAGACACGCTGTAGACGCATCATTTCATAACCCTTAATGGCGACATACTGGGAGGTATTGCTATGTATAAGAAGGTGATTGACGTAAGCAATCGAATTAGAGGGCTGCTGAAGCATCCAGAACGATGTGTAAAATATACGAAGATATGGAAGTCGTCGAATGACTAAGGGCGTATTCCTCTACGGTCTCTATCTAGCCTCGACTGTTGCCCATTACGTGCTTGAGATCGTGGAGACTGATTAGCAGTCAAGCGGCAAACTCTCTACCCACCACATTCCCCCCCACTGTATACCCTCCAACATGTCTCTTTCCATCAGTCCTCAGTCCTCCTTCACCTAGTACCTCATCTCCGCCCACGCCTTGCCCACGCGCAGATATGATGGAGGGGGTAGAACTCCCAGCAGTGATACGCTATCCATCGTTAATGATACCACGCGGGACGCGTGATCGCTGTCCACTGGCCCCGAGCGCCAGGTCTTGCCCCTGGACACGTCGAGCAAGCTTCGTTAGCTGTTGCAACAATCACAGCCTTGCAGCGTACGCCGAAGCTCCCTTTATCATTCTTGCCGATGGTCTTTGTCAAGACACAGGCCTTGTTCAAATCCGCCATTCCATTTCAGGCCTTGGTCTGAGTAGATCCTTGAATGTATCGCATCAGCTTTTACTAGAGAGATACCTTCAGTTCTAGGGGCACAACCTCTTTCCACTCACCGTCCAGTCGCAGAACCACCGAAAATCGTGGATCGCTTGGTCCCATTTCTCCACACTGGGACTGTTGCTCGTTGGACTCTCCGTAAAATGCTGGGAAAAACTCCTCACATTACAAGGTGAATTCCGTATACGTAGATAGTCACTCGGCTCCACCGATCTTCCAGTCATGCGACAAACATCATTCCGGGATGAGAAACTAGATGCACTAGCTAGCCTCTCAAATACTGTATCATAGGCATCCCGATTTGCAGATTCCCACACATCGCGATCCACAGTCTTTCCCTTTTTCAGGCCATCCCAATCCTGCCTTCCATACGTCCTCCGTTCAGCAGAGATCCATGCCGGCATACTCACTATCCGTACAAAGTCGTCGTTAGCGAACACTGCTTGGGAAGTCCTTTGCGAGCTTTCGATACGTGCACACTCACTAAACTGGTTCACCGTCTGCGTAGCTGTCGCAACCCTGCATATAGTCCTTCCTGATACTTATACAGCAGCTAGTTGATGTCTGCCAACATTCGCTTCCCCCTATGCTCAGACGCATACGCTCTAGCCATACTAGTTTAGGCCCTCTGCCTGAAGCTTTAGTGTTCGTTGTCTGACGTTTAGCTTGTTTCGGACTAGGTATTTGTGGTGTGAAGTCGCAGCGTCACACAGAAGAAAATTTCGATCAGTGAATATCTAGCAGAGGCAGGAGCAACCACGTGGCAAGCAGAATGGCACACGTTCTACTCAATGAAAACCAATATCATGATCGAGGGCATGAGAGAATTGAGAACCAGGCTACTAGTAGCTGCTCATGATATGCTATGTACTTTCAACCATGTTTTGTTCAAGGTGTGTGTTCCTTTAGGTGTTAGACGCGACTACCTCTGCTGGGAAGCGAAGCATGCCGCTGAAGACTTCTGCTTGAAATCGCACTGAAACATTATTGCGCTCTCCCGCCCTTGCCCACGGTCACTCAACGTGGTTACCATCCCCCACTCGTGGTGATAACGAAGATTCTACGCACCGTGCACGACCTCCAGCTGGCGCTCTGAAACATCGAGGAGAAATTGGAAGAGAGTGCTAGGCTGTAAAGATTGGATGGTACCCGCTGTAGCCGGAGGAAGGGCGAATAGATGTGACCATGCGTAACATCCATCAGACGAGGGCAGCTGTCAATACGAAGGAGCGAGGTCCGTGACGAGTATTGTGGTAAGCCTAACAAGTGCTCATGACTTTGACGTGTTACTCACTGGATGCAGACGAGACCGAGCTTGCCTCGATTGAGATCCAAGAAGTGGACATGTTATCGGAAAAGTATTGGAAGGTTGTTGTGAGCCTTCACAACATGGTTGAAGCAAGCACCGAAGTTTACCAGAGGGAAAGTCCAGTCGGAAACAGATACAATTTACGTTGGACCGGGAGAAAAAAGGCTTCGGGATTTAACGAGGTATCATGCTGGTTTGAAGGGCACGACGGACAAGATGCTTTGTAAGGTAAGACAGCATATGCTGACACTGTAGATTCTCTATTGAGGAAGGCGTGGTATGCAAGAGTTGAAGTTGATGGTAAGGCAAGCCGAAAGTCTGCCCTCTTTGATCTAGGAACACAGCTTAGAAGATTTGAAGGCAAAGGTAGCACATGCTGACTCTGTTGCTCCTTTGTTGGAGAAGCATGGTATGCGTGTTCTGAAGAAGAGTGTAAGGAAGGCCGGGGGCTCTGGTTCCTGTACTTGAGAAGCATGATATGGAAGGTCCGAAGGAGGTCATCGCGGAGGGAGAGGCTGCCTTGGAGACGGAATAAGGGCCTCAAGAGACGATCCTGGAGGAGAGGTGTAAATCTAAGGAATTGACAGTGTCCTACGAAAGGAGAGTAGAAAAGTGTGGGCTGCTCAGTGGTGAATCGAGTAATTTACGTGGAGTGTTGGCCAAATCGCAAAAATGGTTGGTGAGCTGAAAAAAATAGGTGCAGCGATACTAGGTATCACCGATCGATTGATAATTAGCCCTCTCGCTTTCAAGCATACCGTATAGATGGATCTGACAAAGGTTAGAATTGGTGTCACTAGAATGAATCCATACCGCAGATGAGGCTGTAACAATGAACTATGAACTATGAATGCTTTAGTCTGGCGGTGGCATGACTTCTAACTCATGCTCAAACTCTTAATCGCCAGGATCGTGCGAGATAAACCTCGTAGCCTTCTTTTGCTAGCGAGTCTCCGCCCCTTGTACTTCCAGACCTATCTGTTCTTAGTCACCATCTAGGTCGCCTATTCAGAATCCCATTATCCGCGACAGAGGAGCAAATGTGTCACTTCACAAATTTGCTTTTTAAACAAGCCCCAATCCCCTGTGCCCATGTTCAAACCATAACTTACAGCTTCTCAAAGGGGCACTCTCCTTGTGCATACGCTCGTCTATGCCTTCCATCAAAAATGATACTCCGATCTCATTAGTAGTGAGGGCAAGAAGAAAAGTTTGCTTGGATGTGAAAATAAGGATAAATGCCTGATCTAAAGATTGAAATTGGGGATAGAAAGAACCCTGTTAGCCAACTAGGGCTGATGTATAGCAACAATAACAATGAAGTGCGTGTCTCGAAGTTTGAGAGCTTGGACCTTGGCTCTGAGAGCCGCTGCAGCAGACTCACATCGACTGGATCCGTCCATAACCCTTACATACTGCGTCCTGAAGAATGTAGGGGCGCTGTGGCAACTGAGAACAATGACGGTTGTACCCAGATTCTTTCACCCATTCATAGCACACACCTTGAGACCAATAGGGCTCTCTTCACGATAATTTACCTGCAAGATACGTCATTCCATTCCAGATATTGATGTTTCCCGCTAGTTGTACGTATCGCGTCTCACTTAAAAACCCGGCGCATGTTGGTAATACTCCGCTCGTGTGACCTCGTCTCCACTTGGTGTTTGCTGTTGTGTGTGTAGATGGAACTGCTGCACATGTGAATGTAGCGTTGGTGCGTTTCGGTGTACGTCTTGCTGCTAGTAGGCGTTCTGAGGCACTTGGTAGCCACCCATCTGCGGTTGCTGGGCCTGTGCTTGCATCTGCGCCATTTCCTGCTGCCTCTGTGGCAGGTCACTGAACCAGGGATGCTGAAGTGCGTTCGCAGCGGATATGCGCATCTCTGGCCGCAACTGGAGCATACAGTTGAGGAGGCTGAGACCGACCTGGTCGACTTGTGGCAGTATAAGGCGTAGGTCCTGGGTGTGGTAAACAGGAAAGTTGTTCTTGTACTCTGGCAGCTGCGAGATGCCCGGCCATGATCGTTCAGATGGTGTGCCCATAAGCCTGAAGATCTTCTGAACCTGGTCCTCGTTGGTGGTTCCTGGAAAGAGTGGCCGCCCAGTGTACATCTCAGCCATGATGCAGCCTGCCGACCAGATATCGATACTTGTGTTGTAGGTTCTGCTGCCGAGCAGGACGTCAGGGGCACGGTACCATAGAGTTACGACTTCATTTGAGAAGGTATTTACGGGGATGCCGAAAGCGCGAGCGAGACCGAAGTCGGCCAACTTCAGCTGGCCGCGGTTGTTGATCAGGAGGTTCTGGGGCTTCAGATCACGGTGGAGGACGCGGGCCTCGTGGCAAAAAGCGATTCCTTTCAGCAGCTGGTACATGAAGGACTTGATGGTTGCAGGATCCAGAGCACCGCGGTCACCCCGCGAGTCCATATACCTCTTGAGATCCTTGTCCATGAATTCGAAGACCAGCATGAGCTTGTTCTCAGTATGTATGACATCGTGTAGCAGGACAATGTTCTCGTGTCGCAGCTCCTTCATGAGCGAGATCTCGCGGATAGCGGTCGAGGGCGTGCCTTCCTCCGAGTCAAGATGTATCTCTTTCAGGGCTACCAGCTCGCCCGTCTGGCGGTTGCGACCCTTGAACACCTGAGCGAGTTAGCATGCAATGTGTGAAGTGCATCGTGGCTGCCTACAGTAGCATATGTTCCCTCACCAAGCTTCTCCAGCTGCTGGAAGGAGCTGGGGTGTCTTCTGTTGTCCATGGTAGGTACGATGGGCACAGTGTGGCCGTCGCCGAGGTTGCGGACGCTGATGGACGAGTCGGTGCGCTGCGGGGCTACAAGAGTGCCGGCGTGGACTGGCTTGAGACTGCCCGGGGGCGCTCGCGAGGTAAACTTGGGGTCCCAGAGGATGGCCGAGGCGGTCGTGAGCTGGCTAGCAATGCGCAGAGGTGAGGGCGGGCGGGACTTGTCGGGGGTTGGGGCTGGTGACGCCGTTTTGGTGATGTGGGTAGAGAAGAAGTGAGCGAGGGGGGATGGTTAAACAAGGGTCCGGTCGCGATAGCAGCAAAGGTGGAATGGATCTTCGTCGGCGCTTGTGTCGAGTTCAACGTTGCGCGAGTCGATGAGTGGGATGTGGGTGGATTTGGTGGGGCGCCAGAACAGCCGCCTGACTTTGCGCTACCGCCGACAGCCACCCATCGAGCCTTCTCGCCCTGTCCGTGTGCATGGTCCTTCACCACACTAGCTGCTATTTCTAGATGCAGTAACCCACGATGGTGCTTTGGAGCATTTCCATTGGACGCTACAAAAAATGACTGAGAAGAACAATGGCAACCAACGCCACATCAACGGCGCGAGGAGCGCGCATACATGGACATGCTTCAACAGGGCGCTTTAGCAATATACTTCATTCGTCATTCCATGAGTGCTACGCCTCAAGCATACTCTTTACCCACCCAGGCACAGCCGGTCTCTTTTCCCAGCCCTCTTTCCACCCCTCCCTCCACCCTTCCTTACTGGCAGGCATAGCAAACACCGCCGTAACCAACCACGCAGTTTCCCCTTTCTTAATATCCTTTTGCACAATGGGCAGCACCGTCCTACTCTCGACAAGATTGCTGTTCGCATCAGCCAGGATTACACTACCCTGTCGTTGGCTCTGGTAGATATCCGTGATGCCGACTGCGCCTGTACGGGGCGAGGCTGCGAAGGCGGATGCATGGTCTGAGGAGGCGCCTTCGGGGACTGAGGTATCTAATTTACGCAGTGTACCGTTCCATTCAGTGAGGAGGCGACCGTCAGACTCGCGTGCGCCGTACACAGCCCATGCGCCTTCTGCGCTCTTGACGTCTCGACCCGAAATCACACGATGGACGCGCAGATGCCAGTTTGGTGTATCCTCGGCTGGCGGGATCAGATACGATGTTATCTCCACATCACTCCATGGCTTCATGCTCGACACCAATACAGGCACTCCATCGCGATCGTCAATCCGCGAATCACCGTTAAGTGCCCTCCGCATTTTCCACAGCTCGCCCCCGTCGTCAGAGAAGGCGAGTTGCGACTCTGGCACGAATTGTTCGAGTTCCTGGTAACCAGTGGAAACAGAGTATGCAAAGGCGGCGCTGTAGGCGAACTTACCGTACTTGGCGTTGCTGTTCTTGATAGCGTAGTGGCAAGACTGACCGCTCGAGAGGAGGAAGGTGTGGCCGCCGGACCGGCAAACGATTTGACGTGGATGAGGGAGCGAACGCACAACGCGGGTGTTGGCAAAAGGATGTGGCTCTTCTTTAGCAGACCAGAAGGGATGTGACTCTGGGACTGCGAGACAAGCAAAGGCGAGCATGCACCAGTATGGACTTTGCGGCGAGTTGTAGTTCTCGGCTAGGTAGTAATTGGGGTACGAGTAGCCCACTGTGAGCATGCCGTTGGACTGGAAGATGTCGTGTTGCGTTGTCCACCAACGTAAATTGCGCATCCAAATTCCCTTAACTACGCCCCAGGAAAGAGGTTCAGGAAGCTCGAGGTCGGCGTAGGCGACGGCGCCCCAAAAGGCTACCATGGCCCATCGATACGTCAACGAGCGACCAAAGGTAATGGCGCGGCCTTCAGGGTCGAAGTAATGGACAAAGTCAAGGGCGTACATGTGTGCGCGCTTCTTGTACTCTTCGGCTTGCTCCGGGTCAATGTCTGTGGCGAGTTTAGAGTAGAGGAGCTGCAGGTATTGGATCGCAAAGGAGCCGGAGTAGTAGTCCATCTGGCGATATGTGTCAGGTCCATCGTTGGACCAGCCATCACCACGATAGTACGTGTTCAGCTGCTTGATATCCTTCTCTAGCTGCTCTTTTGACCACTTCGCCCCATTCCTCTCGAGTCCCAGATTGGCGAAGACGCGGAACCAAAGCCTAGCAAAAACTTAATATCACATCTCAAGATACAGCATGACAGGGACTTGAAGAAACAAATGGCTAGCATACCAGTTTGTATCCGGCATCTTCTTATCGTTCATACTCCCTAACCACGTCTCCACATTCTTCTTCTGCTTGTCCGTCAATGGATCCCAAAACTGTTTATTCGCAACAGCAAGCGTGAATCCAATCGGGCACGCCTCCACCATCCTCTGATCTGTATCTTCCATGTACCCCCAGAATTCTGGGCTCTCAGGATCCGTGCCAGAAATGAGGCCTTGAACAAACTTGTCGGTTGCTGGATACTTGCCGCCACCAGCTAGCAGCGATGCGAGACCCCATAGTGGGCGTGCGAAACCCTCAACCTGAGCACCTGTCTCATCAAAGCGTGTACCTGTGGAGCCTACCTTGATCAAAGCATTGTCTGGAGAGAAACCAGGAATGAGGGGATCCAGCAGTGAACCTACGGCGGCAACAACATCGTCACGCGTCTTGAGCGGATTCGTGGAGAAAGGGTGCAGGTCGAAAGCCCGATTGGTATTTGCTGTCGTGGCTGTCATGCTTCCGGTTTCCGGTGCCCTAGGGTAGTTGCTTCTGCAAGTGGCTGACCACAATCGATACGATACGTCTCTACCTGGGTGGACCGACTGACGGTGAATATGCAATGCAAACTTCCGTGTCCGCTATCTCCGCTGCGCGGGCGATTATGTTCAGTTTCCTTGGCGATAAGTTTGTCCAGAAATAATCTTGACGTGTGCTGCTGATGGATTGGTATTGGTGGTGTTAAGCGCAGCCGAAATGCCCAGGAGCCCAGAACTCCAAGACGGAAGCAACCTGTACAAGCTGCGGATTCGGGCGTGATGAGGCGAAAAGGCTTGATTCCGGTATTGATTTTCGCCGCAGTCGTTTACACGAGACGAACGTTTATTTCAGTATTGACAGTCTTGAGGCTCTTCTTGCGTGGGGCTGGTGGTGCGTCTTAAGTGGTGACTGCAGGTGTTGAGTGTCGCAACTTCCACCGAGGTTCGCGACACCAAACCCCGAAGCTTCTCTTTTGCCTGAAAAGCTACAAAGTATCCATCACCCCACGACCATATTCGACAACTCGTGGACGTCCATTTTGCCTACATGAACCGTCACCTCTCCACAGCATCCACAATCCTTTGCAATCGACCCATCACGCGTCGGCGCGACCGTGGGGCATCCATGACCCCGACCACTTCGCAGGTCTAATACGCGGATAAATGGCCACAACAACCGTAGCGCCTGCTATCAGCGGGGGTCAGCATCTTACCAAACCAAACACGGAAAGGCTGGCCGTTGCTCAATTCTCCCCCAACACTCGAGAGTGGGGACACCCCAGACTGGTCTGCCGACCTGGGGACATGGCTCTTGGCAAGTCTTGTTTCATTGAAGTTGCAACGCCACGCTTCCTCGCAACTGGACGGAAAAAGGCGCGGACTTGGCGGTTCCAAGACGGCCTTTCACTGACTCCACAAATCCCACCACGAGGTTTCCGCCGAGCCAAGACAATATCACCACCATGCTCTCTTTGAGAAAGTGCGGTGCTGGTTCTGAATCGACCCCATTGGCCGGAGCCACGAGGACTCGTCCATCTAACGATCTAGCTACCTGGTCTGGGGAAGTCGGTTGGCTCTAGCGGCAGCAGTGAGAGCTGTCTGTGGAGGATTTGGAACGTGGAGTCTGGGGTCTAGTCTGGGGTTCACGATAGCTTGAGGCAAGATGGCAAAGACCGCGGCGTTGGACCAGGCAGTTACCCCGTCTTGAGCAAGGAGCTAGTGCTGCGAGGATAGCGGGATAGCGCATGGGCCGCAGTACCATCCTGTTTATATAGATGGTCATGCACATCCCACTGGGGTTTTGAACATCAGTCTGCGGAGACATCTCTCTCTTCACTCATTCCCTTCGAGCTCCATCTGGTGCCGTACACCAGCGTCTGGTCCAGGGTCAGTTTGAGGTTTAGCAGTCGCACATCGACAAGGTATGTATTCTGTCCTATGTTACACAACATCATGCATGCTAACGATAAGATAGATCTTTATAGCCAACCGATACGGTAGAACATCGCCAACTATCCGCCGTCATGTCGTCTCCATCCGCCGGTGCGAAGTTCATTCGCATGATTGTCAAGAACGACTCCATCAAGACTGATCCTCATGAGATTTACGGATGGCGCGCCTTCGCCATGGCTGGTTCAGCCTGCTTTGGTGGCATGTTGTTCGGATTCGATATCGGAACCATTGGTGGTGTACTTGAGCTGAAGGAGTTCCAAGAGTATGTGCTCCCTCTGCACTTATTTCCGTCTTCACGACACTGACATGACATGTAGCAAATACGACATTACCAACCTCGACAAGGTCGGCAAGGCCAACTTGAACGCCAACATCGCCTCAACTCTCCAAGCTGGCTGTTTCGCCGGTTGCTTCGTCGCCTCGTGGTTCGCCGATCGCTGGGGTCGTAAGATGGCACTCCAGGTCGCTGGTCTCGTGACCATTGTCGGTTGCGTTATTCAAGCCGTTGCCATGGGTTCACTCGAGGCCATGTACGTCGGTCGCTTCGTCGCTGGTCTCGGTGTCGGAGGCGCCTCCATGGTTGTCCCTCTTTACATCTCAGAAAACGCTCCTCGTGGTATCCGTGGCGGTCTCACCGGTCTTTACCAATTGGTAAGTTGTGCCTCTACGAGATGCATGTGAGACATACACTGACTCGTATTTAGTTCATTGCTACAGGAACCTGTAAGAAATGGCCCTGTACGAACTGCATGTGAACCAAATACTGACAGAGATAGGTCTCGCGTTCTGGGTGAACTACGGATCGCTCATGCACCTCTCCGGCGGTGCGCAAGTCTACATTGTTCCTCTCGCTCTTCAAGCTCTTCCCGCTGTTCTCCTTGTCGGCTGCATGGCCCTGAACAAAGAGTCGCCCCGTTTCCTCGCCAAGCAAGACAAGTGGGAAGAGGCCACTACCGTCCTTGCCCGCATGCGAAACCTGCCATCGTCTCATGCCTACGTCCAGGATGAGATCAAGGACATCGCCGATCAGCTCGAGCACGAGCGTATGCTTGTTGCCGGTGCTAGTGTCAAGGATCTTCTCAAGGAGATGTTCACCATCCCTGGTAACCGCAAGCGCGCCCTCATCTCCATCGGACTCATGATCTGCCAACAGATGACTGGAACGAACGCCATCAACTACTACGCACCTCAAATCTTCGCCGCCCTCGGACTCAAGGGTAACTCGGTCAAGCTTTTCGCTACCGGTATTTATGGTATTGTTAAGATGGTCGGATGTTTCGCCTTCTTGATCTTTGCCGCCGATTCTCTTGGTCGTCGTCGTTCGCTCCTCTGGACCTCGATCGCACAGGGACTGGCCATGTTCTACATTGGTATCTACATGCGTGTTGACCCGCCCATCGCGGGAGAGCCCGTACCAGGTGCCGGATACTTTGCCCTTGTCTGCGTGTTCCTCTTCGCCCTCTTCTTCCAGTTTGGTTGGGGACCAGTTTGCTGGATCTACGTGTCTGAGATTCCCGCCGCACGTCTCCGTTCCCTCAATGTTGCCATCGCTGCTGCTACTCAGGTAAGTTCTGACTGTATGAGATGCATGTGGGTTATGTACTGATTTTATACTAGTGGCTCTTCAACTTCGTCGTCGCTCGCGCTACTCCCAACATGATGGCTACCATGGGTCAGGGTGGTTACGGAACTTTCTTCACCTACGGTTCATTCTGCTTCACCATGTTCATCTTTGTCTGGTTCCTCATTCCCGAGACCAAGGGTCTGTCGCTCGAGAGGATGGACGACCTCTTTGGTATCACTGAGCTTGTCAAGAACATGGAGGCTGATCGCGAGAACCACGCCCATGGCACTGAGCTCGACATGGACGGCAAGAACTCGACTGTTGTCCGTGAGGAGAAGGTCGGTCACTAGACGACTGTATGCGAGATTTGTTGCTGCCAGTTTGTTTCTGGTCGAGGCTAGGCTGTCGTTACTTAGCATTAGCATGATGATTTAATGAAGTCACGAGCTTCGTGCCACTCTTTGCACAAACACTTGTTCAAGACCGCATATGGTTATGTGGAGAATGTGACATGAGAGAGAGAGAGAGAGAGAGAGAGAGAGAGAGAGAGTAGCCGCCAAAGCAGCGAGCAGCAAACTTGATTCATGACGTGATGTATACTCATGTTTGCAATAACCGTACAACTTGGAAGAAGCTCAGTGCAACCTCAAATGTGTGACAAAATTCCGCTAACGCCATATGCATGAATGGACAAAGTCAGCAGTGTGACTGTCGCCGGGTGCGAAGCTCAAGCATCCTTAACAGGGGCTTCGTCAGCATCCAGAATGCCTTTCTTGACAAGCTCTTCCGGACTTGGCCTGCTCTGCAGCCCCTTCTCCAGACTATCCGCTTTCATGTGCATCTCGAGTTCCTTCTGGTGTCCCTGTAGAGCAGGCGCAGCGTTGGAGGCGGGGAGGATGTTGCGGTCGACGAGCTCGGCGCGTTCAGGACGGGAGTTGAGGCCCTTCTTGAGGTTGTCGGTTGCGCGCTGGCGCTCGAGCTCGAGGGCCTTGGCTTGGAGAGCACTGTTGCAGATTGGGCGTTAGTGAGGCTGTTGTAGAGGAAAGAGCTCCCTCCAGTAGAGCTCCATGAGCTTGCCGGGGTCAGGAACATACGGCGCAGTAGTGGTGTCTAGCAGGATATGCCTGTTCTTCAGATCCTGCGGTTCCGGACGATGCTGCAGGTGCTTCTCCAGACTGTTGCGCCTGTCTAGAGAGCGAACGGGAGAGATGGGCGTCTCGTCGACAATGTCAGTGTTCTCGGACGTCATGTTGGCAATTGTTGTTAGTCGCTCAGGAAGATGGGGTAGTAAGTGAGGTTGGTGACTTGCGATCAAAGGGGTTGCTACGGGTACTTAAGGAGAGTCTCAATGTGAGACGAGAGGGGAGAGGTGCCTTCCAAGGTTGCTCTGTTGCATCGCGCCTTGGTTGCGGGGCAGCCGCCTACCGAATCCCTGCAGCGATACAGCAGGGATCAGGCGCGTGCCGTCACCGCGTCACCTTACGTCGGATGAGCAAAAAGACGCACCCCCCAAGGCGGCAAGACATGATCGTGCTGCCTTGATTTTCGCGTCAGACGGAGCGTTGGCTGACCAGCATCGAGTCCATGCGCGAAGCGATGAGCACATGCCGCACGTTTCATTCCTAGCGACACTTTCTTGACACGGCGCCGAAAGGTTGCCATGTGAGGCGGCTTGGGCATCTGCAGTCGATCTTGTCGAGGAATGCCCAAGTACCTGGACTAGCAATCACCGCCCCACTGCTAACGTTTTTGTGTAGATTTCGCGTCCTGGTATTCATGGTATGCTAGATACTACGACACATCAACGCCAACCAAGCTGCCTTTCCCCACGTCTAGTCATTGTCGCACCTCCCAGCATCGTCAATCCTTCTTACAAGCCGTAACTGTGGCAGTTGCAGTTCCTGGGACCGTCGTAGAAACCCGGCAGCCCTACAAATGTCACCATAATCAGCTTTCCCAATCTACGATGCTTGGAAAGAGACACTCACAAGCCCTACGCCTAAAACCTTCGTCTTTAGCGCGCATCCCCCGCAGTCCGTGTACACAGTCGAAGTAGTCGTGGTTTCATAGAAGGTGCAGTTAGTCTGGCGAGGTGGCGATTTGAATACATTGACTGCGCAGTCTGCCGATGGTGTGGGCGTGGGAGACGGCGAAGTAGGGCTGACCGAGAATGCGCTGGGTTATATGTCAGGGTATGGAAAACGGCGCGGCTGGAATTATCTTACGGTTGCATAAGAAGTGCCGCAAGCACAATGGTAAGGACTGACGATAACATGGTAGGCTATAAAGGTCTCACTAATGAATGATCAAACTAGAATACAACGACACAGCCAAGAACACTTGAATATATAAGCGGACCTGAACGAGGGGATCGGGACACGCGGATCACCATTTCCATGTGGCACATCAGATTGAGTGGTTCGGCGGTAAGCCGGGACGCGGTCCTGACCAAAGTACGAGATCAATATCATTATCGCATTAACTACATACGTCCACATCATGGGCGTCCAATCCCGTACCTATTGACAAGCCCCCCAACTCCATTGATGAAAAGCTAGATCATTGAGGAGAACTACTGACTAAAAGGACAGTAGGAAACAGACACATGCCGCGTAAGCTTTTTCTTTCATCCCAGGTTCCGGTCCCATCACAGGCGAACCACTCTTGTCAAAGCATTCTGTAGTGAGAGTAATACAGATTAGTGCATTTAAGCACCGTCGTCCTCACCAATGCGGATGGCACCCTCACGGCTGAGACCGTTAGCCCAGAAGCCGTTGAGCTCAACATCGCTCTCGCGCATGTTGGCGTGGGCAACAAGGAGCCAGGCACCGAAGACAGCCTTGGCAAGGACATCGAGGATAGCGTAGGAAATGATCTCAGCATCAACGCTAGCCTTGCGGGCACCGTCGGCAACACCCCAGACACTGCGAAAGTATTAGTGTCATGAAGAGAACGGATACGATGACGGATAAACTTACATGGGGTAGGCAGTCCAGAGGATGGCAGTGTAGGCAGCGATGGAGACGAAGAAAGTGCGGAGCTTGTCACCCTTGGCGCGGGCGTTGGCGCCACCGTTAAGGCCAAGGTGCCAGAAGATGAAGATGAAGGCAATGCAGGCAATTGTGTACCAGCCCCACTTCTGGGGAGTGTCCTCAGTGCCGAAAGCAGCAAACAGACCAGTAAGAACCATGATCAAGTCGGCAACGATCATCATGATCATGTGTCCTCCAGACATGCCAGCAAGGAGACCGAGATCGAGGAGCAGGAGAGGGGTGGTGATGCTCCAGTCGACGTAACGGGCCCAGTAGACCTGGCGGTAGGTGGTGGTGTAGGTGTCGGGAACGTGGTCATGTTGCTCGCGCTCGACAATCTTGTTCAGGGAAACACCGTGTCCAGTGGCCATGGCGAAGTAGGAGAGGGCTGCGGTGAGGGTGATGATGGTGGTGATGACATGGTAGAGACGCTTGTTCTAGTAGGTGTTAGGCATTGCGTTTCAAGTCACTCGGAACGGGGTCCTTACCAATGGGACCTTCCATGACATGACAGTAAATCCAGCAGAGGCGATCAGCATAAGGACAAAGACGACCCAAAGCGTCTTCTGTCCAGCATCGCCAGCAACCTCGTAGACGGGCTCGCTGCCGGGGATGACAGTGGGAACGGGAGCAACCGAAGGCAGAGATGAGGCCGTTGCCGTGGGCAGCGGGAACATCTCCGAGGTCTTCTTCAAGACTTCCTCAATCATGATGGCGATTTGGTGTTGTGAATTGACTCCGGGACCTTGACAGCAACTGTATGTGCTGACGAGTGATCGATGGGAGAGTTGACAGTGAGATGAAGGAACAGAGTGAGACAAGGCGGAGTTATAAAGAGGAGAAGCTAGGCAGCTATGCGGTCACCTGTTGGAGCTGCGGCAGGAGCTATACGAAACAGGAATCGAGACGTCATAGCCCCTCACGGCATGCGCTATTGATTGGTTCCCGCTACGGCCTGCGTGAGAAGCAAGGATGCACGAACATCAGCTCGCGCCTAACAGCTTCAAATTAAGGGTCTGAACTCTCTGCGCGAATGCACTCATTAATGCACTGGAGCTGTCATGGCGGCCGTCAATGGCGTCCTCTGCACGCGTGGTTGAGGCATTGGAGTGACCTCGTCGAGTGGGGCTGGTTGCTACGCGAAAGAGTACCTTGGTACATCATCAATGCTTCACCGCGCCAAGCCGTCCAGGATGTTCCCCACAGCAACAAAGCGCAGTGTGAGTGCACGCCCTCGGCTGCTCGCGTCTAGCCTCACAAACAGGTTTCAGTACCACCGATTGTATTAACTTTTCGATCCCCCTCTTCCGTGCGCCGATGTTCATTTCCATGTTGCATGTCTCGATCGCCTGGATTCCATCAAGTCGCTGACATCGCCATGGCCATCGAACCCAATTGTACATGCGACGACCCCGCCCTGTCGCGCATTGGCGGGTACTCTACATCTCACCAGTCAATAGCCCCTCACGGTGGTGTGATCTGGCCCAACCATTCAGAGCTTCTGGAGAGCTGAAGCGGGCCGAAGTGCATACGTTTTGTTGTTATAGGGAGTATCCTGGACTCTTTACTGTCTGAGACGACGTGCATCTACATTTCTGTCTTTGTCGACGATGCCCGGTACATATCCTCGGATCACGCGGCAGCGCGTGAGGAGACTGCGGAGACTGCGCCCATCACCACATCAGTTGCTTCCGTCTGAACCTAAATGCAGTTACAACGAGCATCGCGACACGCCCAGCCTCAGCACATTACTCAACGGGGCCGTTTGCCAAGTTTTGTGACAGCCTCGCCATCTCAACACAAGTATCCCGCTACTTTCTCACCATTCCATCACGGCGTAGTTCATATTCTTACTTTCGCGCCTGCATCCATAGGCATGTCTTGTTGGGTGTTGAGCTCATCGGAATTTGGGTTGTACTTCGGGTGCGGACATGCTTGCGATGTTCATTTTTTTTTCCCTTGGTTCGTCAAAGTGCGCGCTGAAGGTGTCGTGTTTCCAGATTTATCTCAGTTTCAGCCACTCGATACCGCCCCAGAGTTTAAAGTGGACGCGAACTTCTCCATGGTAGGATTGTTGAGGGTTCGCCTCGAGTAAGTCGAATCGCGCTAGCATCGTGGCTGACTAAGTTGGCAGTTGCTGAACGCTCGTTCGCTGCGTACTAACAACTTCATCGTCGCGCATGCTGAATACCAACACCATGGTTGACACAAATCCCACGTTCTTTTCATATCCTAATAGCTCTTCAATACGTCCCCCACGAATGACAGCCACAGTCGACGCGATAGGCCTCTTATCGATGCACCAGTGGAATATTCGCCCTTAGCGCACCATCACGGTACTCTAGGTAAAGCTCTTTTGGCATATGGCCCGTCGTCACATCCTCCTACCAGCGCTGTGCCCCGTCAATTCTTACGAGGTCCGTCAAGCATTTCCTTCTATCCATCAGGGTGCTTAATTGCCGTCAAATGCCCATTATATAGTGCTTGTTGTTGCCCAAGACTGTACAAGACACGCACTGCCGAGCCGGAACCAAGCTTCTCTGCATACCCAAGAAAGCTTACTGGATTTTGCTGCTCCGCTGGACCACTACCAGATTTCCGGGCCCGAACCAACGAGAGATCAACAATACTGGAGACCCTTTTGGTCAAAAATACCTTAGGCGAATACTTTGCAACACCGCCCTTCTTCATCTACTGCAAGCTCTTTCCATACCACCATGGCTTCTACCGCTTTCGATATTGCACGCCTTGTGCTGCGTCAAGATCAGGGTGCAGAGACACAGCCCGACGAGGTCATCACTTGCGGCAGCGACAACGAGTACGATGGCCGTATGGGTACCCGCATCTCGTCCATTTTTGTCATCATGGTGGCATCTAGCTTCGGTATGTACAACAATCCCACCTTGATCTTCGCGCACTAACACCACACAGGTGCCATGTTCCCTGTTCTGGCAAGACGTACGCGCCACAAGTTGGTACCTAACTGGGTCTTCTTCGCTGCAAAGTACTTTGGTTCAGGTGTGATTATCACTACTGCATTCATCCATCTTCTCGCACCAGCGAACGAAGCACTGGGTAACGAGTGTCTGACCGGTGTCATTGCCGCATACCCCTGGCCTGAGGGCATTGCCCTTATGACCCTCTTCCTTATGTTCTTCCTTGAGCTTATGACCATGCGCTACGCCAAGTTCGGTAATGATCATGATCATGAGCACAGCCACGCGCCTGCAGGAATCCCACCCGCGGCGCACGCCGAAGACTACAGCAGCTTCGACAACAACTTGAAGGAGCAAAAGGCGGGTGACATCGAAGGGTCCGCTGGTACCAACCCTAACATGCGTGGAGAAGATCATCTTGGCCACCAACGCGACCACGTTGACCACGAAGCTGAGTCGAAGTCCGATATGACGCCTCGCGCTCTCGTGCCAGAAGGTTACGCTTCCCAGCTGACGGCCGTCTTCATCCTCGAGTTCGGTGTCATCTTCCACTCTATCTTCATCGGCCTTACACTTGCTGTCTCTGGCGAGGAGTTCATCACGCTTTACATCGTCTTGGTATTCCACCAGATGTTCGAGGGTCTGGGGTTGGGAACGCGTCTGGCTGAGGTTCCTTGGCCAGCATCCAAGCGCTGGACGCCGTACCTCCTTGGTCTAGCTTATGGTCTCTCCACCCCCATCGCTATTGCCATCGGCCTAGGTGTCCGACAATCGTTTGCTCCCGAGTCACGCACTACACTGCTTACCAATGGTGTTTTCGATTCCATCAGTGCTGGTATCCTCATCTACACTGGACTTGTCGAGCTCATGGCCCACGAGTTCATGTTCAGCCCTTACATGCAAAAAGGTCCTGTTAGCCGGACACTCAAGGCTTTCGGCCTTATGGTCCTTGGTGCTGGTCTGATGGCGCTCCTGGGTTACTGGGCTTAAATTAACGTGTCATGCGGCTCATGGTTATCTTTTCTTCTATATGTTCATCGTTTGCTTTTTTGGATACCCGTAGATCAATGCTGGCTCTATTGTCGCTTTTCTGTTCAGATAGGGGAATATGTGATAGAACATTGCAATAGACAAACATCTTCAGACGGATTCGAAATATTCACTGTCTCAATATTCGACTTGATCTCGTCTTACAATGCTTGGTCCCGTGTACGTCACAGCTGAGCTCGGCAGGTCGCCCGAGCGATCATCGCAAAAATGGTACAGGCTCTACATGGCTAACAAGTGAAAAAGTGATGTATATATTGGCTATGTATGTGTTTGTATGTAAACGCTTGAAGCGGGGGGTATCATTAAAACTGACTGACTGCACACACAAAAGCCCAATACGCGACCCAATCTTGTCAAAGATTGTTCAAGGCCGTAGATTCAGACATTATCAAATAAACGAGAGTGTACATTGCGGCCGTGAAAAGAACGAACAATCAAAAACAAAGGAAACGGTCGTAGGGGCGTCGAAATCACATTCGACGCATTGTGCCGTTGTGCGCCAGTGGGGTGAAGATGCAGACCGGCAAAGCTATCCTTTATAGTAAACGCCTGTTCCCATGCTGCAAACAAAAGTTGGGTATGTAAGGTGGGTATGTGCAAACTGGAAGAAGCGAAAATTTATATGGTTATGACGCTTCCAGGGCGTCGATAGACGCATGGAGATACCTGATTCGCTCTTCAAATGGCGAGCCAAGTGGGCTGAGGGTCTCGTGCTTCTTCAGGTCCGTTTCACGTGTCGTTGCGTACGAGATCCATTGGCCTGGCAGTTTGGGACGGAACTCTTTCACAGGACTCCTGGATGGGCCCTCGTCCACCGGAGATGCTGCCCGAGACTGGTCGCTGTCTTCCTCCATGTGTTCGAGACCTTCGAGGTCTATGCCACTGTCTCGGTCGATGACTCGGCTCTGTTGTGGGAAGAACGGAGAGTCCAGAGCTTCTATGGCGCTGTGTATTGGACTCCAAGGGCTGAGGAGGCCCCTAGATTCCCGCTTTTCGCTGATATCGTTGTCGTCGTCTTCTGGAACAAGTACGCGGCCACCTACTTTGACATCGCTGATGTGCACTTTGTACTCCAGTGCCTTTTGACCATCCTTAATCAGTTGCTCTGTCCACCCGAGACATTTCTTCAGACTCTGGTTCATCTTCTGACTGTCGTTGAGCATCTCTCGATGTTTTGAGAGGTCTAACTGGAGACGCTTCTCGTCTCGTGAGCGATGTGTTTCATCCCGCTCCAGTTGAGCGCTTGGACTCAAAGCGCTGTCGTCGAAAGAAGAGTCGCTGCTTTCCGGGTCTTCCTCCTCCTCTTCAGGTGTTTCTTCTTCTTCCGCCTCGGACATGTCAGACAGATCTCCTATATTACCAGCGCCAATAGCCGAGGTTTCCAGGGGTTCGCCAGCCGTGTCAGCAGAAAAGACTCCAGCTCGGCTCATGCGACGGAAGCGTCTGAGCTCAGCCTTTTGCTTTCGAACTTCTTTTTCCAAGGACCGGTTGATAGCAAGAAGCGAGGAGTTACTGATCTCAAGGTCAAGCACTTTACGTTCCCTTCGTGCGTTGGCAGCAAGCTCGTTCATCATCTCGAGCGCACTCTTGCCATCGCTATTTCTCGATGGACTGCCGGATACCGGAGATCCTATAGGGGAGAACGCAGTCAAGCGTGGAGAGGGCGTAGCTGCTGCATCGCCAGGAGCGCGATTTTCAGTATGTAGCGGGCTTGGTGCCATAGCGGATGATTCAGCAGTCGGTGCCTTTTTCAAGCTAGTCACAGAATCGATTGACGACAGGCTAGAACTCTTGACATGTCCTCGCTTTATAGTAGAGGCAACACTGGACCTGCGTCTGGTGCGATCAGACACATCCGGCGTATTCGGTCCAGCCAAGATGGCCAAAGCCGAGTTTCCAGAACTGCCTCTACTAAGAGCTGGCCGGACCTGAGAGGCTCCTTTGCGATACGACAGATGCGCGAAGTCCTTCGTAGGCGATGGTGGACGCAGCGACTGTAGGTTCTCAGAAGGCGGGAGCAGATCTGGCGACATGGGCATAACTGGCGGAGTGAGGGTCGGCTGGCGATCTTTTTTCTCGGAAAGCGAGTCTGCGTGGAAGAACTTGCTCTCTGGCTGAGCCCTCCCCACGGATGATAGCGGTGGCGAAGGCACGTTGTGTTTCGGAGGGGCGTCATCTTGTCTGCCATCAGCGTAGAAGAAGGTAGGTGTTTTCTTTGGGGGTGCTGTTGCTAGTACTGGTGCCGGTTGCTCGTGCGGGCGGGCGTCGTTGGCATGGAAAAACAGCGACGAAGCGTCTTTCCTGGAACCCGTCTCGGACGGGGGGTTGTTGTACGCGCCAATCGAAGACCTCGGGGTTGGCGTGACATGGCTGCTGCTTGGTCCCGGTGTACTCCGCGGGCGGACTCCGACTGAAGAACCACCGCTCTTTCCCACGGCACTGTGTCCACTGTGAAAGTCTACCGTGGATCCTGGCCGCGAGCTGCTCGGTGTGGCGGAGGGTGTGCCGCTGGGTGTCGACGACGTGCTGTCTACACCAACGCGGGATTTCCTCGAAGAAGAGCGAGGAGTCACATTGCTGCTCAGGAAGGCCTTCACAGGCGTCACGTCGTTGTGTGAGGAAGCAGCAGGCTTGGCCGGGGTGGTTCCATTGCTGGTGCGGGTGGTGCGGGTGCTCGATGAGCTAACGGTGGAGGAAGCGGTGGGCGCAACCGCAAGTCGAGGGGTCAAGGGCGTCTTCGCAGCAGTTCGGTTACTAGCGAGCGTCGGCTTCAATGGCCGTGGGTTATTTCGGTCGGTTCGTTCGATGGGCATCCTCTAGGGAGTAGTGCAGCTATAGGGTGGGTGTTATGCTGCGTGTGCGGAGGGAGATCATGGCCTTCCGGGGAGGCTACAGGTGGTTGCTCGGGGGGTAATGGCGGTGTTGATGGTGGTATGTTGATGGCCGCTAGTAGCGTGTCGGGTGTCTGCAGGGTCGAAACAGCAGCGAGCTCTACGTGTATTGCCCCACTTCTACAATGCCAGCGGTGGAGGGTTGTAGACGGTTGGTGTCCAGTCCATTGTCAAAGGGATGGACGAGAACAGGAGAAGGGTTTCGGACTGTGCGGAGCGAGTGTCTGTGTTGGTGTGAGATGATTCTGGTGGCCCTGAATATCCTGGAGAGCACGGTTTCAGGGAGGCTAGTCCCAGCTGGGCGCAAGCGTGAAAGCGCGTCATGAGTCTTCCACGCCTCATCTCGCGTTTTAGTGGGCCATCATCTCGTCCTCTCCCGAAGATGACCCCCCACTTACCATGAGCGATGCCGCAGGGTCTGCCCATTCACTCGTACCATGCGAGCAGCCTCATGGTTCGCCCGTCTCCCACTATGGCCTCAGTAGTCCAACCCTCGACGCGTTCGATTTGCCTCCCGCGCCTACCTCACCCACCATGACCACTCCCGAAGCAGAATCTCGAGACAGACCAGAGCGTCCACAGCCCGCACGAACAGCCTCGGCCGAGCACGACTCCTTAAAGTACCACCTGCTCGGCCCCTCGCTCACAAAAGCCGGACAAGATACTGTAGACCAAACAAAGGTCTCCGAGGTCATCTACAATGCATCCAAGGGCTCCAAGTTCTTCAACAACGAGGAAGTCAAGGACAAGAATCTTACAGAGAAGATCAACAAGATCCTGGCAAAGAGACGTCAGCTGGAGAAGATTGACTTGACCTCTGACCAGCGCAGAGCCGACGACTATATCGCTGAATTGGAGCTGAGCAGGGACCTGAGTCAGGTCATTGTACACCTCGATTGTGATGCTTTTTATGCCGCCGTAGAGGAGCTCGATCGCCCGGAGCTGAAAGACGTTCCGTTTGCGGTCGGCAAAGGTGTGCTGACGACCTGCAACTATCATGCGAGGAAGTTTGGCTGCCGCTCGGGCATGGCCGGTTTTGTTGCCATGAAACTCTGTCCACAGCTAATTTGCGTCCCTATGAACTTCGCGAAATACATGGCCAAGGCAGAAGAGGTCCGCGAAGTCCTTGCACTGTACGATCCTAATTTCCAGAGTGCGAGCTGCGACGAGGCATACCTGAATCTCACAGAGTACTGCCAAGAGCACCATATGACCCCCGAGGAAGCAGTCAGCCAAATGCGCGCAGACGTCTATGAGAAGGCCAAGATTACCGTCTCTGCCGGTATCGCAGCAAATGCCAAACTCGCCAAGATTTGCTCAAACAAGAACAAGCCAAATGGGCAGTTTCTGCTCCCCAGTGACAGACAGACGATTGTAGAGTTCATGAGGACCCTACCTACACGCAAGGTGAACGGCATTGGTCGCGTCTTTGAACGAGAGCTGGATGCTATAGGCGTGAAGACCTGCGGAGACATCTATGCACATCGAGCATATCTGGCGAAGCTATTCGGTCAGAAGGCATTCCAGTTCTTGATGCAGTGCTATCTAGGTCTGGGACGTACCATTGTCAAACCTGCGGAAGACCGTGAGCGCAAGAGTGTCGGGACAGAGACTACGTTCAGGGAGCTAGGGGATCGCGATGCCCTGCGCGACAAGCTTCGTCACGTCGCCGAAGAGCTCGAAGGAGACCTGAAGCGCACTGAGTATAAAGGGAGGACCATCTGCATCAAGATCAAACTTCATACCTACGAAGTGCATACACGACAGACGACACCACCATTTGCTGTTAACAAAGCGGATGACTTATACAGATACAGTCTCCCTATGCTGGAGAAGCTGATGAAGGAAATACCGGACCTGAAGTTGCGTCTCATGGGCCTGAGAGTCACACAGATCATCAGCACAAAGAAGCCTGGAATCGACTTCTTCGGCCGTGCAGCCAAGACATCGTCGACTTCTTCAAAGGCTTCCACCTCAAAGAATGAAGGGACATGGGAGACCTGGCCCGAGGAGGAATTTGAAGAAGCCGCACAACAAGAGCGCAACGAC